AAATGGGTGTTGTGGATGGTCATAACGTAGTCCTCTAGCTTCTTTGGTAGCTTGTTTCTGGTTTCTCTGATTGGCCTACTGGGGGTTGGCTCGCTTTCCTGCATGATGTCTGCCTCTTTGTCCGTCAGGTCATCTATCTTCAGTGAAGGGTGCCCTTCTTTCCAACCTTTGACGCTTGTCTTGCGATGGTTGGCCTTGTGCCCTGTGACCTCTCTGACCTCCCTTTCCTCTTGGCCATGTTCGAACGTGACTCTATTGGCTGGGATGTCGTTGGAGTGAACCCTCGACCAGTTTGCGTTTTCGTGGAAACTGGCTGATCTGGAAACCACAAAACGGTTATTGTTGTCGACAAATCTGTAGCCCTTTGTGCCCGGTTCGTAACCCACGAACCTTAACCTTTTTGATAATTTTTCCCCTTTTCTTCTTAGCTGTCTGGGAATGTGGACATCAGCTGGGGCGCCGAATATGTGTAAATGTGCGATGTTGGGCTTTCTGTTGTATAGCATCTCGTATGGTGTCTTATTGATAGAGCTTGACCACAGTCTATTCAGGGTGTAATTAGCGTAGTGTATTGCCTCTGACCAGAAATGCTGTCCCATCCCAGCATCCTCCAGGGCGCATCTCATCATGGTTTGCAACACTCCGTTCTTTCTCTCTGAGACTCCATTTTGAAAAGGAGAGAAAGGTGAAGAGGTGTAATGCGCTATGCCCTGCTCCCTCAGCCACCTTGTGAATTCTTTGGCCATGAATTCTGACCCCCTATCAGTCATTATCTGCCTTATTTTCATGTTATGTTGCATATCTACTCTTCTGTGGAATTCCTTAAACCTTTGGAACACTTCGTTTTTGTGTCTGAGGGAGTAGACATACCCGTATCTGGTGTAGTCATCTACAATCGTGAGGAAGAATCGCTTCCTATGTCCTACAGAGGGTTTCATTGGCCCTACCAAGTCCATATGCACCAATTGGAAGGGGTATTCCGTGGTTCGTTTGGATCCCCTGGGGATGGCCTTAACCTTGATCTTGGAACGCTTACAAACTGAACACTCTAAGTAGTTTTCGCAGTTCTTTACTTTGAGACCTTCGGTACATTCCGTCATTTTCTTTACAATGGGGAAGCTTATGTGTCCCAGTCTCCTGTGTAGGAGGTGGGCGCAGTTATCATGTAATGGTTTGCCGATAGATACAGACTTGTTTGTCTTCTCATGGCTACACCCTGCCTCCTGCTGCACCCCCTCTGTTTCTGGATACTTATCTACCTCGTGGTTTGTGCTGGCATCAATGCTTTCTTCCTCCCTTGCGTTGGGTGTGAAGTAGGGAAGCCCCTCGTGTATGGTTACCTTTCCTATCTCTTTCCCTTGCTTGATCAAGTGTGCCTTTCCATCCTTAAATTTTATTTCTATATTTGTGTCTCGTGTCAGCTTTGTGATGGCTAGCACGTTGTGGGGGATTTCTGGTACGTACAGTACTCCTTTTAGGTCCCCTACCTGTGTGATGTGTACGTTTCCCTTTCCCACTACTTTGACCTTGCTTTGGTTTGCTACCTTTACTTCTGATTCTATTTCTGTGAGTGAATCTAGCAGCTCTGGGTTACAAGTAGTGTGACTTGTGGCCCCTGAATCCAGGAGCCATGTGTTTCTCTCTGCCTTATGTTTGTCATTTGGGTCATCGTGCCTGATCCCATACATGGAGCCAGAGTTACTGTCCCTGGAGTGGTCTCTGCGCTCATGGTGTTTCCTGGGGTTGGGTGACCACCCTCGCCCTCTTTCCTTTGGGTGCCTGCGTTCGGGTGACCTTCCCCCTCTACTGTCGTGTTGTCCCCTATCCCTATGGTTCCTGGGGCAATCCTTCTTTAAGTGGTTCCTTGATCCACAAGAATAACATTCTGAGGTATCCCTGGCCCTATCCTGGAAATCCACCCTTTTTGTGGGTCTAGGGTCCCCTTTGGCTAGTTGGCGTTCCCTCCTCAGAGTGTCCTCTGCAACGAGCTGACTGGTCAGTGCGCTTAGTGTGAGGTATTGCAAGTTGAGGCTATTTAGTTGGGTCATGAAGATGTCCCAGCTGCTATCAAGAGAGTTTATGATTATGCTTATCATGCTCTCTTCAGTGATGATTTCCCCCCTCTGCATGAGTTCTGCCCTTGCAGCATTCATCTTTAAGATGTGCTCACTCATGGGGACCCCTGCCTTATGCTTGGTAGAGTGGAACTCCCTAGATAGCCTAGTGGTGGTGGCTCTGCTTTGACTATAAAACAGGTTACATAGTTTTTGCATAATATCATAAACAGTTAGATTGTCCTCAATAGATGGATACATAGCAGATGGAATGGAGGTTAACATGATACAAAATGCCCTGTGATGAATGCAGTCAATTTCCAATGACCAGGGCTTTTGGGGAGGTTTGTTAGCTAGGAACAGTGCATTCTCTCTCATGAGAGCAACCCTTAATTGTTGGCTCCATTCTATAATATTACCCCCATCTAACTGCAGTTTTGGCAAATTGGCATAATTTGCCCCAGAAATGTTAGTAAGGTTACTTACGGGGGGAGCTGTCCATGGTCCAAGTTGTGATTAAACTCACAATAAGGCTTTGGGATGTCTGTGGCCATTCTGTACTTGCTTGGATCTATGCAATTTGCTTCTCTTATTACAGGCAGGTACTGGGCATGCGCGAAGCTCATTCCGCGCTGGAGTCCATCGGGTGAGGTTCCTGTTGCTGGAGCTCCCAGGCCTAGGCCTAGGCCTGTCGGTGGGAGGCTGGACCCGCCCCCGGTGGGTCCGAAGATCCCCCCTGAGGCTGGACACCACTGCTGGACGGCCGGATCCCCGGCGAAGAAGGGGAGAAGGTGAGGGGGCGACGCGGTCGTAAGTCGAGGACTTTCGCGGGTCGGCGGCGCGGCAGCAGCGGAGGTCGTAGGTCGAGGATTCCCTGCACCCAGCGGCTCGGCGGCGATGGCGGCGACGGCGGCTGATCCTCCCTCGTGGTCGCTGGTCCCTGGTCGTGTGGACTGGCCTGATGGGTGTCGTGGCGCTGGTGAGTAGCCGGTTCTTCTTCTCTGCCTCGGGCCTCGCGTTGCCGGTGTAGCGGGTGGTGAGTTCGAATCCTGCGGTTGATTTTTCCTGCAGGTGGGCGGTCTTTTGTGCCGGTTGTTGGTGTGCGCGGTGTTTTTAGCTGGCTGTGACTCGGTTGCCCGGTCTTTGTTGGTTGTCCTGGCCTTCTTGTGCCCTCCAGGATTTCTCTTTGATTTTTTGAGTGCTGCAGGGGGCTCGAAAGCGGAGCCTAGGGCAGCGGTGATGGTCTCGATTGCCTTTTGCAATTCGAGATCGGTAGGCGTTTTTCTTTTTGTTATTGCGATCTCTTCGTGGTCGCTCTCAGAGCTGGGCTCTTCGTAGTCGCTTTCTGAGCTCCCCTCGTCTGTTTCGGGGTTCGGGCATTTTCGCGCCAAGGGATTCAAATCCTGGCTTCCCATTGGCTGGTGCTCGTCCCAAGATGGCCGCCGGGAAGTGGGCACGGAAATGGATTCTGCCGGCTCAGGATCATCGGGTTGGGGTGGCTTACCCTTTTTTGCTGGCTTTTCCTTCTCGGTTGTTTTTGGGGCCTCGATCGCTGCTTCTTGTTGTTCGAAGAGGCTTTGAAGGTCCGCGATGAGGTTTTCTTTGTCGCTGTTTCCCTCCATCAGTTTCAGGATGGAGAGTTTGAATTTTTTCATTTTTTGTGTTGTTTCTTCTTCCGGGGCGGTGATCTCCTTGGATGGCCCCTCTTCGTCTGATTGTGAGTCCAGGCTGGAGTCCTGCTCGCTCCCAGCTTCTGTCTCCTCCATGGCTGTGGCTTTGGTTGGAAGCTTCTCAGCCATCTTCTTGGTAAGAGCTCTGGTCTGTGCTCTGTTTGCTTCTTCTGGGTAGGTGTTGGGTTCAGTCATTGTCTGGAGTTATGGGCAACCGACCTCTGCTACCAATTTGTTAGAAACTGGATCTAGCCCAATAACTCAAAGACATAGCCCAATTCTTTTCAGTAGTTTTATTGTTGATCAGTTGGTACTGGAGGTCACTGACCTTGTACCTTTCTCTTTCAGGTATACATCTGGAATGATCTGTGGACCATGCGGTTGGACCTTTTGTACCCAGGAGGAGGGGTCAAGAGGTAAGGAGTGGTTATAAGGATTATGGGATATGTGGTTAGTTAACCCTTGATGGTCCGGGGGATCAGGGAGACATGGCAGTTAGGCATTTTATCATGACAGCCTCAGATGCAGGCCAATCGAAGCAGGCTGACCCCTTTGCCCCAACAGCAGCAGCCAGACAAGGGTGCCTGCTAGGCCAAAACAGCACCACGCACTCTGGCAGCTACTTCATGTCCAAACTCTGGGGTTCTTAGAGGAATCTTTGTTTTAAGCTTTTACTAGAAAGATGTAGTCACAATATTCTTCAGGCTGACAATAAAAACAATAGAAGGAGTGAGATGCTTGAATCAAAATAAGGAAATAAAACATAAAAACAACTCAAGGAAAAACTTGCATTAGGGCATGTCTGCCTTCCAAGTTCTATTATTCCCAGGAATTTCTGCATGTAGGAACATCGGGGGGAGGGGAGGGGGGAGCTTGTCCTCTCTTTCCTCTCTCCTTCGGTTCTGTTCTCCCCAGTGTTTGACTTTTGTGGTGCCTTCTTTCATGGCGAACGGATAGGATTCTTTGAGTCTCTGCTTTTGAGGAGAAGGAGAAAGGGTGGGGGGACCTAGCTTGGAAAAGTTGGGTCTCCCCTTCAAAAGTTTTCAGTCTAGAGTTGATGCATGGCTGCAGCTCCCTGGACATGTGCCAGTGGCTCATGAGCACATCCATCCACTTCCACACAGATGTTTGCATGTGCAGATAGGAATGCCTCCCACACTGCTGCTCCTTTTGGAGTCGGGTACCCCAGGCTCAAGCTGAAGAGCCTTTCATTTGGCCACTGGTGTCAAACAGCCCAGCGCCCCATCTTCCCCAGACCTTGCTATTTTATTTGCAGGAGGAGAGTCCATCAGCATCCTTGGTTTGGTCCTTGGTGTCAGCCTCTCCCTCTTGATCCTCGCTGTTCTTGGCTATGTCCTGGTCAGGTGGTACCGGGAAGGACCCTGCTGGGACAGTAAGTGGGGCAGAATGGAGTCATAGATGTAATTGCAAGGTAACTGGTGATCCTTAGACTTTAGGGACAATTGGCAAAGCAGGAACCTGCTTGGGGAGATTTCCTCACCTCAGATAGTGGAGAGCAACTGCGGCCCCATAGACTTATCATTATGGGAGACGGCAGACTCTCTAATGTTGAGGTCAGATTTTTAAGAATGTAACCTAATTTTTGGAGGGGGTTGAGGGGAACCAGCCCTTATCCTTATATGATCCTGCAGCTATAACAGTGAACGTGGGGGCTCCTTTTGTATATGGGGGATGGGAGGTAGCTGTGCATGATACAGAGAGAAATGGAAAGTACTTTTATTTTACTTATTTATTAAATTTGTGTGGTGCCCATCTCACTATGGAAAGTCAGTTCAAGGGGAAGGATTAAACCCTCCACACAACATCCCCCCAGGCTGCCTGGTCTTGTTCTTTAGTAAAACAGTAGAGCCTTAAAGAGGGACTCCATTATCTCTTCTGTAATTTTTCTAGAGAAGTAATTAAAGAATCTGGTGCTCAGAATTTAACTTTCTGTCTTCCTTGCCTTGTTTTGTTTCCTCCAGGGCCTAATTTTGTGTTCAGGTTTTATCACATCCGGTAAGTGCATTTCAGGAAGCGGCTTTGGGGTTCATAAGAGTTGCAATTTATAAAAACATATTTCCTGCCTTAGAAGTGTACTTTTGTTCTGCCTGTTTATTTATTTATTAGATTTATGTGCTGCCCAACTTGTCTTTTTTGCTTTGCGCTTTTGTGTTTTATTAATTTATGGGGTTGCTGATCAGATCCTGGTTCACCTCTCCTGGAGATAGCCCTCGGAAGGGCAGGAAACAGGCAGCTGCAGTCCCAGAGAGCAGCCCCCACCATAGGCCAGCCCAGGCAGCAAGCAGAAGGGCTGAGAGCCAGTTCTCCAGGGGGCCTCTGTTCAGGGCTGGCCTATTCCCAGGCCATTCCAGCAGTGGAAGAGGATTATCTTTATTCTTTGGAACCTGCTCTTTTTTCTCCTTGAATGGATGCATGTGCCTTTTTTAGCATTATGAGCCATAACACTAAGTCCACCACCAACACGCTTCTGCCAGTTGATGTATCTTTGCCCCTTTAGCAACCTGAAGCCACTGAGACTGGAGTTGGCCCCTCCCTTCACCATCAGTGGTTCCACGCATCATGGAGCAGGTGTCGGCTATGGGCAATTTCATGAGAGGGACTGTAGGATGGAGATGTGCATAAGTGACCATGAGGCTCTTCCAGCATCGTCCTGGCCCAGTTCCACAGCTGCCATGAGGATCTGAAGTGCTGGGCAGCAGGAGGGTAAGCTTTGGGTGGATTTGGGCAGCTATGTAACCTCTTCCTGAGAGCAGAGATGTGTGGACACTCACTGCCCCCAACCCTTCTGTATTGCTCCTTAGTCCCCCTACCAGATGGACCTGAAGTTGGCTGGCCAACCAGACTCAGTGTGTGGTCCTCAACGGAGCTACATCTCCCTGGAGGGAAGTATGCAGCGGGGCTCCTCAGGGTCCTGTCTTGGCCCCAGGGCTCTTCAACATATTCAGAAATGACCTACATTGGGAGGGGATTAAAGGAGTACTCCTCAACTATGGATGACATCAACGGTGGGGGAAATGGCTAAAACTTTGAAAGATAGACTCAAGATTGAGAAAGATTTGGACCAATTTGAACTTAATTCAAGAAGATGCAGTTTGGTGGTGAGAAAAGTAAAGTTCTACACTTAGACAGGAGAAAACAGATGGAGAGCTACAGGAGAGAGAGCATCTGTCTCAACTGCAGTTGAGAGGAATGTAGGATGGACTCCCGTTTAAGCATCAGTCAGCCGGGTGCTGCAGCTGCCAAAAAAAACCAAAGCAGTTCCAGGCTGCATCAGCAGAAGGACAGCATCAAGATCACAGGAAGTGATAATACCGCTCTATCATGCAGTGGAGAGGTCACATCTGGAAGATTGCATCCATCCAGTTCTAGGTATCATCGCCATGATACAAAAAAGATACTGAGGCCCTAGGAAGAGTCCAGGGAAGAGCAACAAAGATGGAAAGGATATTTACAATAGCTTAACAAATGTCTATGGATATTCTCAATCATCCAGGTCATGGTTGTCCCAAAGGTGTTTCTCCCCCCCCACCAAAAAAAAAAAAGAACTGAATTAGTTCTTTTGCTTCTTGGATGAGAAGCAAAACGTTTTCAAAGAAAAAAACAAACTCTAGCTGCCTTTTGGAAAAAAAGCACCTTTGGAAAACTAGCTTAACAAAGAGAATACTTGAAGGGTGGCCACAAGGCAGATTTATGTTCTCCATAGCACCTGAGGGTAAGGCAAGAAGCAATGGGTGGAAACTAGTTAGAAGGAGATCCAACTTAAATGAGGATGACGTTCCTGATAGTGAGAACTGTTAAAACAGTGGGAAAACTTGCCTCCTAGAGTTGTGGGTGCTGTATTGTTGGAGATTTTCAAGAAAAGATTGGTCAAGGATTATGTCCGAGAAGGTATGAGGACTTCTGCCTTGAGTAGGGACCTCCAAGTTCTCTCCAACTCTGATTCTGGGATAAGGGTCTCTGAAAATTTAAAACCCTCTTGGAAACAATGCATGGAGGGATGTGATCAAGGCTGTGACAAAGACCAGGAATAACATCTCCACTTGTATCCCTTTTCAGGATGATGGTGGGAAGAGCATGTGATGTTCCTGCAGGTTGAGTCATGTGTCCTGTTGGGACTTTAGGGAAGTAAGATGGATTATTGAAATCCCTCCTTGGCTGTTTTGTGTGATACTGAATTGTCAGGTCCCAGCAATCCTATGTCTCCTCTGCGCTCAATAAAATTACAGCACCCTTCTCTTTAGACCAATAGTCTTGGCCAGTTGCAGTTCAGAACCAGCTGCAGTAACAACCCTGCAGCAAGCCAGTCCATCATCCCCACTGACCAGGCAGTACACGAACAGCAGTGCTTGGAGAATGGTATGGACTCCCTTTGGTTGACTGTGGGGCATTTCATATTTTAGGCTGCTTCTCTTGAATTTTGGATTCTCTGCAGACACAGCGGGGTGTGTGTGTGTGTGTGTGTGTGTGTGTGTGTAAAATAGAAGGACAGCAGTTGCTTGCGGAGCTACTCTTTTAACAGAGGAGCATTCCGGATGGGTTTCCCTGGTGCCAAGTGGTTCAGTCCATGCCCCCCTTTTATAGTTCCCCCCTCCTCCTCCCACTCCTGGGACAAACCCTTGCTTTTAAATGCTGATGGGGGGAGGGTGGCTGATCCCTGTTTAGGACAACAGGAACCCACTAGCCTTCCTAGCATAAGCCCCACCCAGCCATGGGCAAGAAGGGTGAAGCCCTTTAGAGCAGCGGTCACCAACTGGTGGTCCGTGGACCACTGATGGTCCATGAGAAAATTTTGGTGGTCCACAGAAAAATTATTTGCATTTTTTATATTGCACTAAATCAGGGGTCCTGAAACTAAGACCCCTGAGCCAGATACGTGCAATGAATGTTTGTGTTGCTGCAGAGTCTCTCACTTCGGGGTCTTCTTGTGTGGGTCGGAGGGAGGCAGAAATTCCGACTAGGGGTCTGCTTCGGCCTCCTGGTGCAGGGCTTTGGGTGAAGGCTGGAGGGCAGTGCCGCTGGTGGCAAAGAGCCGGAGGGCCTTGTTCCAATGGGACTGCATCATGGCCTGGAACTGGGTGACCATCTCAGCCCTCTGAGCCTCCAGGTACAGGTACCTGGCCTTGCACTCCCACAGGTCTTCCCTCTGCTCGGAAAGCCTATGCTCCTAGTCCTCAGTGAGGTGCTTCTGCTGAGCCTCCTTCTCGGTCAGATCCAATTTGAACTGAGCCAGCTGTTTTGCCAATTCTTTCTCGTGGTGGCTGCTTAGCTCCAACAACTGCTTCCTGTTGGGGCCCTAAGGAGCCCGGGTGGGGAGGCGAGGAGTGGCTGGCAGGGGAGGGGCAAGGAGAGGCCAGCAAGGTGCCCCTTGACGTGAGTGACATCGAGTTGACCACACCCACTGACTCACATGACCACCTAGCCATGCCCACCCAGCCGGTCATTAGGCAGATCATATTAGTGGTCCGCGGGATTTAAAATTACGAAATTAGTGGTCCCTGAGGTCCAAAAGGTTAGGGACCCCTGCTTTAGAGGAACCTTGGAAAGGGCTGCTTCTGTTCTTGATAAACATCCAATCCACCCAGGAGGGGTGGGGGTGGGGGTGGAGGGAGAGGGGAGGGGGGAGGCTCCGTTCCCCAAAGTCTTAATTTACCATAATGGAAATGCATTCTTTATTGTGCTGTGTTCAAAGTTTAATCCTGAAGTATCACATAGCTAAACAATATTTATTAAATAAGGCAAAAGACATTGGTAAAGATAATTTAGCTGAGTTTAAAATAAATAAAGTTGGTTTGTACAAAAAAATCCAAGGCTTTTTGAGACGATCCTTTTGTATTAACCACAAAAACCCTGCCTGATAGTTTGATCGTTATTTTTATTTTAGTGGTTTCTTGTAAGCTTTTCATATTGTCGGAGTTGGGTGATCATATAAATTCTTTAAATAAAATAAATAAATAATTAAATTAAATTAAATTAAAATAAAATAAAATAAAATAAAATAAATAAAATAAAATAAAATAAAATAAAATAAAAGATGGTCTGGGGGGGCCCTCTTTAGGAAGCTTGGCCTGGGAGGACGGTTCTTGGGGATCGGGGGGGGGGAGGCAAGACTTAAGGTGGACTTCTGTTGAGCAGCTGCTTGTCCTATGAGTTGCAGAAGACCTGGGCAACTGAGCGCCCCCCTCCCTCTGTTACCCAGCACCATTCCAAGCCAAGGGCAGAGTCTCTATCCCCACCTCCCCAGAGTCCTCCATGAGATCCGGGTACCTGAGGCCTGGGTCTTTATCACTGCTTCAGTTCCTTCTTAGGGGAGGACTCCAGATAGACCTCCAACACCAGGCCCCTCCTATTTAGGAATGGCTGGACTTGGAACTTTGCAGGCCAGCAGCATGGTCACCCCACAGCTTATTCATCAGGAAAGTCAGCGAAAGGGCAGCTCCTGCGGATTTTTGGAAAAGCAAAACAGGGCAGGAGGAAGGGATTTCTTAGAGAGAAATGGATGGAGTCCCATTCTGGGTTGCAGCTCTGGGCCCTTTGGATGGCAGTCATGGCACCAAGGCACACATTTACCAACCATTGCAGAGGATCCAAAAATGCAGGTCTTTTTTCTACTAGAGGCCTCCACTCTCCCCTTTCATAGCACAGCCCTCTCCAGTCTTGTGCACATTGTTTCGTGCTCTTTCTCATGTGCAAGGCCCTTTTCGGCTTCCTTTCCTTTTCAGAAGAAAAGGGAGAGTGAGCCGTACTACAGGTGGTCCTTGCTTAACAACTGCCCTGTTTACCAACTGTTCAAAGCTATGATGGTGCTAAAAAAGTAACGTTACGACCAGTCCTCACATTTACGTCTGTTGCAGTATCCTCACAGACATGTCTTGAGATTCGGGCACTTTGCATCCAGCGGGCAGTTACAATTATCAGAGTGTCCCACGGTCACATGACCAACGTGTGAGCTTCCTAGCCAGCTTAATACAAGCGGAGCTAATGGAGAAGCTGGCAGGAAAATTACAGGTCGCAGTCACAGGATGCCTTGTTTAATTACCAGATCACTTAGTGATGGAGTTGCTGGTCCCAACTCTGCTCATTAAGCAAGGACTACCTCACTGTATTTGTTGTTGTCTCTGCCTTTGGAATGCCCAGTTTCTCCTCCAACCTCACAGATCAGACTTTGGGAGAGTGCCATTTTCAATGTTTGAGCTACATCCAATGAAAAGAAGAGAAAATGCAATGAAGCAATCAGGAGCTTTGCATCTGGGATCCCTCTTCCCTTCTCAAGTTCTAAGACAGATTCTTAGTTCTCTGCAGGGTTCTGCCTTTGTGGATCCCGGGAAGGAGGCAGACCTCTTACATCCAGCACTGAGAAGGAAAGCTCTGGGGATGGGATCCTGGCTCAGCTGTCGCTGGAGGGGAAGTGGCAATGGAGGCTCTTGTCCAGAGAAGCCCAACCTCTGAGCTGACTCACAGGGCAATTGCTATGGTCCAAAGACATCCAAGGACATGCTGTGTGGGAACTGCTCTTTCTCCTGATCCACACGATGAAGAAAGTCCTTTGGGAGAGCAACCCCCTGCAAGCCAGGGGGGGCTCCGAGGAAGGTCTGCTTCAAATAGCCAGTAGTCAGACTGGGGTGGGGAAGCACCTCCCCATCCATGCTGGAGGGAGGCCGCGGGCAATCCTCAGGATTCAAAGGAGCCCCTGACTGTTGCTTGTACCCAGAAAAATGGGCCTGAGTCACATCCTTGGGTGGTGATCCCTCACCTGGGAACAGCTGCTCTTTTATTCCAAAGCTTCCTGCATCTTTCTGCATGTCAGTCTCTTGACCAATGTCCAGGGTGAAATGCAGATTGTCCAAGCTGCCAGAGGTTTCCTCCAGGCAAATGCCACTGTCTGCACTGCAGCCACTGCCTTCCTCCAGCCCTCTGCCCTCTTCCCGCTGGCAGTTCTTCTCTGGAAGCACCGCTCCAGTGCAACAGCTCCCTCTCCTTTCCAGGTGTGCGTGATCCTGTGGACCCAGGAAGAACAGTTGCTGGATGGACTCGGTCTCCATGTGTAGGATGCGGATATCGCTTTTCTCCATCAGTCCCCAGCAGAAGCTGTGCCCAAGGGGTGATTTCTGGTATGCAAAAGAAAAGAGGGGGGAGAGTCAGCTGACAGAGTCTCCAGGCAGCCCCAACTAGTGGTCACTCCAGCTCTTCCAGGAATCTCACCCAATTCATGAGATTCTTCCCAGAAAGAAGATTCTCCCCCCACCCCCCAATTCTTCAGGCAGACAACAACCCTTTCCAAGGGAAAGAAAAATCAGCATGGACAATGGCTCAATCAATCAATCAATCAATCAATCTGAATAGAGCTGGAAGGGACCTTAGAGAGACCTTGGAGCCGTCTGGCCTGGACTATGGAGGTTCAGATCCGTCCTTTGTAGCTGTGGATTGATCATCCTTTCTTGGCTTCAGGTGAGGACAGTTTTTTCGACAAACGGCTTGTAAGTTTAAAGAAAGTTGGCAGTTTGACTAAGTCATTGTTGGAGAGTGCAAAATACCCTGGAAACAGGGGCTCCCACCCTTTGGACAGTGGACACAATTCCTTCTTTGAGAGTTTTTGAGGGACTGGGATTTGGCCAACATCAGAGAACTTTCCTATTTGCTTCTCTGAGGGCCATCTGGGTTTGGGAAGCAGTGGTTATTTTGGGGAGGGGGTCTTACCAGGACTGAAGGCATCCTTGTGGGCTTCTTCTTGCAGGCAGAGGCCAAGCCCAGCCCTGAACCCAGAATCCCAAGACTTAGAAGAGTCAGGAGGGCCAAACTCGGGGTAAGGAGAGAGTACTCTGCAAAGGAATGTTCCCACATGTGATTGATCAGGGTGGGCCATTCATCCAAGACAGACAGTGCTGGGCAAACTGTGCCCTCTCACTCTGGCCACCAAAAGTTCCAGCAGTTGTGTTGGAAACAAGCCAACAGTTTGATTCAGAAAAAAACACGGACACCAAGAATGGTTGCCTTATTTAGGACGGTAAAAGAACTAGGAAGATCCTAATGCTGGGGAGCTAAATAAAGGCCACTCCCCCTGTTAGTCTTGGGCTGAGACCAATAGAGCCTTCTCCCCACTTGACCCGTTTCTAGTCTAGAAATACCAAAACCAAATTTTATCTCAAAGCTGCTCAGGGGCCTCCAGACTTTTAAAGAAAGTAGTAAGACCAATAACTTAGATGGGCCAGCAGAGGGCTGTCTCCAAGATAAGCTTCACTCTGTGTGTGTGTGTGTGTGTGTGTGTGTGTGTGTGAGAGAGAGAGAGAGAGAGAGAGAGAGAGCGGGAGGGAGGGGGAGAGGGAGAGGAGGGGGGGCTTTGCCACAGGCTCTGACTTCCTTGGCTACAGGGAGTGAGCCAGAGGTACAGAGAAGGCTGGTGCTCACCTTCTAGGGTGGGTATTGAGACACACTGCTCCTCTGTCCAGTTAGCAGCGTTTGGCCTGGAGGCCACACGAGGCTGTACACTGATGCAGTACTGCTCCCCCCACAGCAGTGGGGGCAGATCAAATTCCAGGCTGCTGTAGACCTGCAGGAGCTGTGGAGGAGAATGGGCAGAACCTCATCAGGCCTTCCTCCCTACCAAGCTCAGGCCACTTGTTGTCCCAGCCCATGGCACCCTTGGGCTCCTGAGGGGCTTCTGTTGGTGCTTCAGTAGCTGCCATTCCAACTCCCCCAGTCAGTCCCACGGCTCACCTAGTCACTGGTGATGGACTGAGGCTCACCTCCTGATTGTTGGACACTCTTTGGACTCGGGCAAGATATTCCCCCCATGCCTCATAGCTGCCTTCGTAAGTGAGGTTGGCCCAGCAGCTGGTGGGAAGCTGCAGCGAGACATGGAGCTGGTTGCCACTCCTGGAGAGGGTCACCTTGGAGAGCCACAGAGTTGCTGGGGAGAAGGAGGTGAGGTAAGGTGAGGAGAGGGTAAAGCTGGAGGAAGCTGCCTCCCCAGGGGGTCGCCCTGAACAGCTCCCCCCTCCTAGGTTCGCCTCCTGGGGCCGGCATGGCTCCTTCGCCCCACCAGGAAAAGCTGGCGGCTCTTGGGCCGTGCCTGGTCCCCGAAGGAGAGGCTGGCTCTTCAGCCTCTTGCGCTACCTTCGCTAGGCGTAAATCGGCGCGTCAGTCTCCAGGCGGAGGAGCTGTTCCCGGCTATGGCGCGCACCCGGGCCAAGTAATGAACCGCGGGCTGCTGAGTTTCGCAGGTGAGGTCACAGGAGAGGAGCGCGATCCGGGTACAATTGGCGGCGGCTCTCCAGCTGTCGTTGCCGAGCCTGCGGGCGGCGGGAAGTGAAGCCGAAGACGGTTATGACACGGAAGAAAGGCAAGGACCCCACCCGAGCCGCCTGGCCTCTCTCTCTCTCCCGCCTTGCCCTGCCCTTACCGCCGATACTGCACCTCGTACAGGAGCCCGGCGCCCGCTTTAGGGCCCGCTTTCCAGCGAAGCAGGTGATGGAAGACGCGGGCCTGGAAGTGGACCGCCGTGGGCGCGGCGAGAACCCGCTCTCCTCCTGAGGACACAAGCAGCGCCCGGGCGGTTAGCAGGCCCTCGGCATCCCGGGCCCCGCGCCCGACCCTCCCTCTCTCTCCCGCTCGCCTCCCGCGGGCAGGCCGCTTGGAAGCCGCCGCGGTTGGCTCTTCACTCACCGTGGCTCGGAAGACCGGACGCGGCGAGCAGCAGCAGCAGCAGCAGCAGCAGCAGCGCGGACACCACCACCTCGGCCATCCTAGGCGTTTGCCGGACGGCCACTGAACGAAGAGCGTTTGCTGGAGCAGCTGGCTCGGCTTTCACTTCCTCTGGGCATTTCCCCGCTGCTTCCCCTTTTGGGGAAAGCCCCGCCCGCGCCTCTCTCTGCCGCCGGACCCGCCGCTTTTGCCGGAGAAGGAGCGGACGACGAGGACCAGTTGTGCGCTGGGGAAGGAGCGACAGAAGGTGTCACGAGAGCTACCGGAAGCCCTTCCCCGGCCTGCCCAGCTCTTGGCCGCCTGCTTGCCCACCCTGCCGCGACCCCCCTCCCCGCTGCTCATCTTCTGCTTCTGAACTGCGACCCTTCCTCCACTCTGGACGGCCCCTGTCTTAACTGGAGGGAGATGGAGAGCCGGTTTGGTCTAGTGGTTAAGGCACCAAGATAGTAACCGGGTGCCTGTGAGTTCTAGTCTTGCTTTAGCATGAAAGTCAGCTGGGTGACCTCAGCCAGTCCCTCCTCCTCAGCCCACCCACCTCACATGGTTGCTGTCGTGGGGAAAAGAGGAGGAAGAAGGAACTTTAGAGATGTTCGGTTTCCAAGCTCCGATCCTGACTTTCGATGGCTCAGTCTTGGGTTGTCCTCCCTGTGGGAACTGCCACCTCCCAAAGTCTTTTGGAGGAACTGTTGGATTCTCCACTCTGAGGTCATTTCTGATTTCCACCACTTGGGCAATTTGCCACCCCACTACCCTCATTTGGGGCTGTTTCTGCGGTCAAAAGATGCAGGCAGGTGCTGGAACACGAGACTGAATAAAAGTGCGTCCAGGGAAACCGCTTTTCTCATCCTCCCATCCTCCAGAATAGATTAGCAGGAAGCAGGATTTAGGAGTTGTTCAACTTAAAATTCCATCCTTCTCATTTTGTAAAACTAACCCTTTTGGGAGGGTGAGGGAGGGGGGGTTATAAAGAGAGTGACATCAGGAAGGGCTTTAGAATAGATGCAGCTCATTTCGTTTTCATCTCCCTGGGGTCAGACACCTCTGACTGGCTGGTTTTTCCAAGCTGGACTTTCCGGTGTGCAGGGGAGGGCTTGAAAGCAGCCTCTCCTTTGGATAAGCCTGCATCGCCTGGGCAAGGCCCACCTTGAAGCCAAAGCCAAAGCCAAAGCTAAGATCCTTTCACCAAGGGGTAGCAAGGCTGCTGTGAACCTGGTACTGGCCTCCTTGGCCCCCTGAAAAGCGCCCCAGGGAAGCGGCAGGGAAAACCCCTCCCTCAGAGCCTCTGGCCCTTTCTGGGCTCATCACAATGGCCAAGTAGTGCTCGGTGGCCATCTAAGCTTCAGTGGAGCAGGCTCGGACTTCTTCCGTGACCCTCTTGCAGGAAAAGGCTGTGTCCCTGGCGGGAGGCCAGCTCCACCTGGCCACCTTCCACTGGACAAGTGCCATGGTTCTCCTGGCCCAGAAGCTTCCACATGTGCTGGGCAGTTGAGGAGGAGGAGGAGGAAGGAGGGAGGGAGGGAGGGAGGGAGGGAGGGAGGGAGGAAGGCATCTGCAGCCACAGGGGGAGACTCAATGTCCAGCCTCTTTCCAGCTGGAGCTTTGGAATGCCTTTTCTGATACCCTCCCAACCGACTGCCCTGTGTCAGGCTAATCTCTGGTCAGCACAGCATGTTTGTCTGGTGTTCTTGAGAATTGTGCAGAAGGGGTTTGCCACTGCCTCCTTTTGGGATGTTTCCTCACTTCTCAGCCTGACTTTTGGTCCAGGGATTCTCTGGTGGTCTCCCATTTGAGTACTAACCTGGACTGTCCTTGTTTAGTTTCTTCCAATTAATCCAATGAAACAAATAGTGGTCACTGAAGTCCGTCCCCCCCTTTAGTGCATTGGTTTATTCCCCTCCCTCGCTGCTCCTGTTGGTGACCGATGACCTTTAGGAAGTGTACATTCCTTAGTTTAATTGTGCTGGATGCAAAAACAACTTCCTTAATCTTCCCTGAATTTCTCACCATTCAACCTCTGGTTCAAAATTCTGGTATTATAAGAAAGAGATTAAAATCCGCCACAATTTTCTTGGGAGTGAGAATGATTTAATAAATGTATCTCCTGTTTCCCTTTTAAGAAAGAAACAGAAACAGAAAAACCCCAAATGTTGTAATCGTTCTGCTCTGAGGAATTTGTTTAACCCACTTCCCAATTTTGTTCATGTTCCACTTGAGCGGTTCCCCCCTGAGAAATAGTCACCATATCTGGACAGTGGACACGGATTTGTTTCCGCCCCCCCCTCCTCCTTCCGCCCCCTCCTCCAGTTTCATTTTCAGTTCCTTAAAGGCCTCAGGATCATGTCTGCTTTTGCAGAGTTGGTGAAAGAGGGGCGGGAGTGGGAGAGGTCTCCATTCTTCAGGCTGTTCAATGCAGATCTGTGCATGGGAGGCTTTGGAATGAGAAGCACCAGTTTATACTAACTGGAGCCAGTAGGAGGAGAACCGGGTTACTTTCGGTAGCCGAATATCACTGGTTTGTCTATTGCTACCAGACTCCTCCTGATTTTAGACTGTGGTTCTAACTTCAAAGGCAATCCAAGGGTTTGGATCTGTAGGAAGTTAGCACCCACCCCTCTCCTAGAAGAATGAAATATTTTAGGAAATATTGAAAGGGGCAGAATATTATGTTTCCCTGGATAAGAAATGGAGAAATATGTTTTAAAGACAAAGCAGCTTTCTGCCTCCCCTCACCTTTGTCAATGGGCCATTAAGGCCTCAGCCAAGCTCACTCATTCCCCCCACCTTTGTCAATGGACCATCATCTGCAACACAATAGGACCCAAACAGCAACAGAAATTCCCCACATGACATCTGGGAAGATTACATCAGCCAGCAAAGCTAGCTAAGACCCCCACCCCCTGGGAGTCTGACAACCAATCAGGATACTCTTCCTGTGCCCCAGGAAGTTCAAAGCACAGAGAAGGCATAAAACCAAGGCACACTCAGCATCTCGCCCCTTTTCTGTTCAGGAACTCAAACCATGTGATCCTGTCCACCATCAAATTATCTTTCCAAGCAGTCTCCATGTTTCCAGTGTCCTTTTCCACACTTGGAACTGAACCCAGATGGATATTTCTTCCAACAGATCTCCATATCTTCATGGTTTCTACCTCCTCAGAGCTTCCCAATCCCAGCCAACAGAAGGAGTGGGTCTTCCTGCTAACTGTGCGTAGTCCTCAATGACACTTCAGTTCCTTGGCAATTTGCTGATGTGGGGGAGAAGAAGTGAGTGTTCTCCATCAGCAGACTTGCCCAGGAATCCACCTGACTCCTGCCAGTTCGATGACCCTGGACTCATTCAGAGAGTGAAGTCCATTCTTTGAGTCATAGGGATAAGTTCTGTAACCCCCTGGATTCACTTGTTTGGGCTTTTCCTTCCCTCCCCTCCCCCTGGCATTGCGATAGGGAGATCTTAAACTGCCTCCCCCCCCAGCTTTCTGACAAGAGGCATGAGTGGCCCATGGGCGAAAGCCCTCCAGCTGCAGAAGAGTCCCCTGAAACTGCCGTAAGGTTATTTGGCTTCCAGGCAACCCCAGACCCTTTCATTTGGCCTGGTTTCTTCCATTGTGGTGGGATGTTTTGTCCTCATGCTGCCCTTGGAGACTGTCCTGTTTGCAGCAGCTTTTACTTGTTTAAATTTGCTTCATGTTTTTCATAAACTGCTTGGGCATTTCGAGACCGACTTCTGCCACCAGTAGCCTCCCACCGGCCAGTCCGCTCCCACAGAGAGGGGCTCCTCAGGGTACCATCGGCCAAGGTATGTTGGCTGGCGACACCCAGGGGGAGGGCCTTCTCTGTGGGAGCTCCTGCCCTGTGGAATGAACTGCCCCCGGAATTGCACAAGATCTCTGACCTCCGTGTATTTCGCTGTGCCCTCAAGACCCTGCTGTTCCGCCAGGCCGGGCTATCAATGTAAATGATTTTAAATTGGGTGTTTTAAATTTTTGGGTTTTAATTTGGGCCGAAATTATTTGATAATTTTAATTATTTTTTAATTGATGTTTGTATACTTTTGTGTTTTTAATAGGCTGTACACCACCCTGAGTCCTTCGGGAGAAGGGTGGTATAGAAATAAAATTATGATTATTATTATGATTATTATTATGATTATGATTATGATTATGATTATGATTATGATTATTATTATTATTATTATTATTATTATTATTATTTTGATGAAGGGTGAGGAAGTTATGAAAAATGAAAAGTTTTTCCTTCTAGGTCTCTAATCACCTCAGTTGCTGTCCTCTGGACATATTCCAGTTGTCTTTCCTAAAATGTGGCATCCAGAATTCAATGTTATATTCTCGCTGCAGTCTGACTAACGAGGAGTGGAAAGGAGGAATAGCTGCTTTTGATTTTTGATAGCAAACTTACATTGATGCTGCCTAGGATTGCATGTGCCTCCTTGATAACTGCATCCCTGTCAGAATATTCATGACTGGGAAGACATGGTAACAAGGTCAGCCAATGAATAGGCATAGCAACTAAGTCAGCCAATTGGGAGCTGAGACAGACTGGAGCCAGGGCGTGTCTTAGTCTGCAGCTTCTGATTCTGTGCAGAGAAATGAAACTGAAACCAGAGTGTGTGAACTTGTCTGCTGATTTAAGCTGAAATGAAACTAAATTTGCTGTTGGTATTGTAAATTTACTTCATGTATTATTGTGAATATAAAGAAGTTAATGAATCCTGCTGCATCAGTTTATCTGTGTGTGCTTCTGGATTTGTTTTTTGCAACAAGCTCTGACAATCCCTCTTAGTGGATGTTCACAATTTGATCCAACCTGAACTTCTCCCCATGAACTGCAGCCAACTGTTCTTTTTCCAACCACAGGTCTTTGGAGAAGAAGAGTTGGAGAAGTTGGGAATCTTTAACCTGTAGAAGAAAAGATTATGAGATACGTTATTGTTACCTCCAAGAATCCGAAAGATTGTTATGTAGAAGATTGGGTAGATTTATTCAAAAAACCAAGGCAAGAAATGATGGGTTTAATTGACAAGAAACTGCAGCAAAAGAGAATCTGAACAGCAAAAGCAATCTGGGAAAGGCTTCTTCAGGAAATAGCAGACTCACTTTTGCTAGAAATATGTGATAAAAGGGTAGATGGTGATCAGATGTGTCAGAGTGCACACAGAGTGACTATTTTGAGACAACCCAGGAGCAAAATACAGTAAACAGAGGTTTGTCTTCCAAATAGTGGTTTATCTACAAGGAATATATACATACAGATACTAGGCAAAGTCAGGCAATCAATCATCAAATATAGCATGGAAGCACACACACACACACAGAGGTATGCCCTCACAGGGCCTCTCTTATATTACAGCCTCTTAAAGCGATAACAGTCAAATAACCCTGCCGACTCATTGCTACCACTGCATCATCGTTACAGCGTTACAGTATTACAACATTAGAGCAGCTGGTCAGCTATTAAATCACCATTACCCTGACAAGATGCCTTTGGAGGTGGCCTCCCAAGCCTCTTCCACCAGTCCCGGATTCCAGAAACGCTCTCCTGCCTACCTCTTTTAGTGGCATGCAATCTGGTGGGAAGTAGAATGGGCTGTTTTTTCCTTCTCATCCTTCCTGTTCTCCTGAGTCAGGTACTCCCTTTGGATGTCCTTCCTTGGGTGTGGCTGCCCTGATACTGCCTCCTTGCCTGGGGAGACCAGCTCAGGGCCATGGCCAGGGAGCTTCAGAACGGAAGAGCATTTGGCAAGACTCCTGTGTGAGGGTCCATTGACCAGCCAGGAAGAAAAACCAATTTCTCTTGTGTAGGTCCCCATTGGGAGACCTGAAGCCAGATGCTCTCAGAAACCTGGCAGGAAGGCTGGGCTGTGCAGAGTAATCTTTCAGGTCAGGCCAGTTTCTTCCCTGCCTGGCTCTGGAGGTTGCCACACACAGCTAGCAGGGAGGGTGCCAGGCAGGTAAGACAGGTAAGCTTCCCACTCAGTGCAGTTGTCCCAGAGATACATTGTGGGTTGGATGCTGGCAAACCTCTGAAGCTCATATGTATGATTGAAGGAAGGCAGAGGGCCATGGACCTTGAAAGGTTGCAGTGATCCAACAGGGCTGCTGGTGGGAAGAGGCCATGGAACAGCCCCCACACCTGGTAAGTCAGCTCAGGAAGGGAGGGAGGGAGGGAAGAACCTGCTGATCACTGGAGTGATGGGATGTCGTCAGTAGACATCTTCCTGGAATTGGTAGAAATGAGCCCCAGAGAGGAAGAAGGAATGGGCTGGGGTCTCCAGCAGTCCTAGGACTGGATGGCTTTCTATTCTTTGCGGCTGCTCGGGGGGGGGCACCTCCTCCATAAATCCTGCATCCTCAGTGCTGGGCAGCATCAAGGCAGGTCTCCTTGAGCAAATCCTCCGAGCCTCTTCCCTGCCCAGTGCTCTCACCAGCATTGGGGGTGGGGTGGGTGGGTGAGGGGTGAGAACAGATTGTAGGCAGTCTTTCTATTCTGTGATTCTGTGATGGCTGCTTCTTTCCTTGAGATAAACTTCTTAAGAGCACTTGAAACCCCTTTCATTTTCATGTATCTAAACTGGCAGGTATAATCTGGCAGGAGTAGCCAACACCCCAGGAGACAAGCTTAGGATCCAAAAAGATCTTGACAGACTTGAACAATGGGCCCTATCCAACAAAATGAAATTTAAGGTGGAGAAAAGAAAGGTTTTATACTTACACAGGAATAACCAAAGGCACAAGTACAGAGTAGGTGAAACCTGGTTCAAAAACAGTAAGAGGGACCTTGGAGTCCTAGTGGACGATCACGTAAACATGAGCCAGCTCCCCCTCTAGATCTAGTGGGTTCTGCCCAGTGGTGAAATCCAATTTTTTTTTACTACTGGTTCTATGGGCGTGGCTTGGTGGGCGTGGTGTGGTGTGGCTTGGTGGGCGTGGCAGGGGAAGGATACTGCAAAATCTCCATTCCCACCTCACTCTGGGGCTAGCCAGAGGTGGTATTTGCAGGTTCTCCTAATTCCTCAAAAGTTCTGCTATCGGTTCTCCAGAACCTGTCAGAACCTGCTGGATGGGAAAGAGCAGTCTGGGGCCAGGAAGCAGAACTCAAGGGTGTTTAGCTGAGCAGCTGGTCTTTGTCCATGGCTTCAGGGAGGCTGGTGCAGGCTGCATCTCTGGCAAGTGGAGTATCTGGCAAACCTTGGAAGGGAGGCACTTGACTGAGGTGGGCGCATTTGCCAGAGGACTCTGGGACATCAGGTCTCTCAATACCTGAGCTTCTGATGGGAAGGAATGGGCATGGCCAAAGTCTGCATTGTCCAGCCTCTGCCAACATGCCTACCTGGAGGGTTCCAGACTCCTGTTTGGCCCTGGTGTGAGAGGGGGGTTCAGGGGTCTGGAGCTCCCAACTGGTTCACGGCAGCATCTCCGGGATAGTCCAATGTCCTCCTTGCCCCACCCACCTGTCCATCTCCCAGCCACAAAAGAACCATAGCAGAAGGGAAATTGTGTGTGTGGGGGGGGAAGAATAGATTTTCTGATCCCTGTCAGTGAGGTTTCAAGCCCCATCATAGGACAGAAGAGCACTGATCGCACTTGTTGCTGATCTCTGGTGAGAGTGAGATAGTGGTAAGGCGTCCATCCTTGCTCTCCTTGACCTTTTGGCAGTACCATCAACCATGGTATCTTTTTGGATCAGCCGTGGGATTTGGGACTGGGAAGTGTAGTGTTGCAGTGGTTCAGTTCCTCTTTCTGTGGCCAGTTCCAATCAGCCTTAATAGGGGGGGCTTAGCCATTCCTTTGGGCTCACTACTCTCTCTGCTCCCTTTTAATATATACATCAGATGTGTCCAATCTTTTGGCTTGTCTGGGTTGCATTGAAGAATTGTCTTGGGCAGCATATAAATAGAAGATAGATAGATAGATAGAATTCTTTATTGGCCGTGTGATTGGACATACAAGGAATTTGTCTTTGGTGCATAAGCTCTCAGTGTCAAGTTTCAAGGTCGTCTCAAATAAATTGCATTTCAAACAAAGTCTTTGAAGAAAAACTCCTATTTATTAAGCACGACATTCTAAACCCAGCTCCATCAAAGCCAACACTGACTTCCAGGCCCAAAACCCTCCCTTTCTGTCCCCCACTCCCCTGCACTCATTGGCCATCTCCAAGTCATTCTACCCCTAATCTACTCCAGCTCAAAGGAATTTCCCCCCTCCCATCCCATCTCCTAGGGGATATTATCTCCAGGGAAAATAAGTAGGTGAAAAGTCAAACGTCCCTTTCCAGACGCCTCCGCTTCTTCTTCTTATGTCAGCACTAGAGTAAATGCTGCTTGAAGTGCTGACATTCAGTGTACATAAAAAGGCAAGATACACTCATCAAGAATCACAGGGCACAACACCCAGTGACAATCATGCAGTCACAAGTGGGAGGAGATGGGTGACAGGAACGATGAGAAGACCAATAGCAATAGTAATGCAGCCTAATGTGAATAGTTTGACAGTGTTGAGGGAATTATCCATTTAGCAGAGTGATGGCGTTCGGGAAAAAACTGTTCTTGTATCTAGTTGTCTTGGTGTGCAGTGCTCTACAGTGTCGTTTTGAGGGTAGAGGAGTTGAAACAATTTATGTCCAGGATGCGAGGGGTCTGTTAAAAAAAAAAGGGCAGCCTGACTAGCTGTCCAAGGCTGCATGCAGCCTGCAGGCTGTAGATCAAATACACCTGATCTGTATGAAACCGCTGGGTACGAGGGATTTCATCCCTGGTGACCCAAGTGATGCCCTGGCTGTCCTTTTGTAGTGCCTGGAAGCAGTGGGGGCCTGGATGGGGTGCAACAGGCTTCAAGGGAATCCTGGTAAGAGGGAGTGGCTGCGTGTAGGTAGAGCCTCAGGATCCAGAGACATATCATCTTTAGTTCTGGATGGGGAGCAGACCTGCTGTGCAATTTGAGGGTCCTCCTAGAGTAGACTCTGCTCAAAGAGCAGGTGGCAATCATGGCTAGGAGAGCCTTCACAAACTTTGTGTGGTGTGCCAATTGTGCCCCTTTCTGGATTCTGAGTCCCTGTGCTCAGCCACTCATGCCCTGGTCATCTCCTGCTCGGATTATTGCAATGCGCTCCACATGGGGCTACTGTTGAAGAGTATTCGGAAGCTACAATTGGTCTAGAATGCAGCGGCATGGACAGTTTTGGAGTCCCCAAGGATAGCACACATAATGTGAGCTGTGCTGGCTGCTGATCTGCTTCTAGGTGCAATGCAAAGTGTTGATTACTACCTTAAAGCCATTTAGACGAGGTGTCTCAGATATCTGTGGAACCGTCTTTCCCCAAAGGGATTGGCCCACCCCAGTCTGCTGGCAGGAGAGGCCTACTGCAGATCCCATCGGCCAAGGAATTTCAGCTGCTGGGATCCAGATTTTCTACCATGGCTCCTGCCCTTTGGAACATCTTGCCACAAGAAGTAAGATCCTTTCTTTTAGCCTTCAGGAAAGGCCTTAAAACTTGGCTATGCTGGTTGACATTGAGTCCTGAAGAAGAAGCGGTTGGCTGGAGATAGTTGGTGGGCTAACAGAGAAGGCACCCCACCTCTTGCTCCAAATCCATGTTTTTTAGTTTGTTTTATTTTTTTGTAATTTTAATATGTTCTTATATTTATAACTTTGATATTTGTATATATTATCATACTACAAGCTGTTCAGAATTTCCTGAAACCACAAGATGGGCAACAAATGAATTTACTACTACTAATAAGGTTGCAAGTGAATCAGAAGCTGGGAATCTGATCCTCAGAAGTGACCTCAGGGCCCAGCAGCATTTGATGGGGGGGGGAGGCAGGAGGTAGTTGTTACTTTGCAAGCAACCAAGGCAGGATGACTGGGAGCTGAGCGCCACACTGCCCAGCACTGAGTCCCTTTGGATGGCTAGGGTCCAGGCAGGTGTCCAACCAGGGACCTGGACTGGTTGGTAAGGAGATTCCTGGAGGGAGACTCCCCTGCTGGGGCAGCTTCCGTAAGCACAACACACACACTGCATGTTGCTTCTACTAAGGAGGTCAGGGCTCAGCCCTTTCAGAGCAGAAACAGCCAGAAGGAAGAGACCTGCCCTGTCCTGCCCAGCCTAGCCTTGCCTAGCCTAGCCTATGGGGAACACAGCTTCTGGCAAGGATAGCGCCAGTGTCCTAATTCAGGTAGGCAGCTGGAAACTGGGCTTCTACAAAGGAGCACACCCAGTTCCTTGGCAAAGAGGTCAGTCCGGAAGCAGCTCAGGAAGGGTATTCTCTTGGTTTGTGATGACTCTGGTAGAATTTGCTGGGGGGAAAAGAGGGGGCTTAGGACCACCACTCCTGTTCGGATGCATCCAGACTTTGATCCTTGGACCTCTTTTCCAACTTTGGTCTTCTTTGCCCACAGGAAAGTCCACTGCCTTATCAGGAGGTCCTGAGCCCTGTCCTCTATGCCTTCACACCTGCTGTCTCTCAAGTAGCCCCATCAGGTGAGACCATTCAAGGTGCCACCCTCAGACCGTATGCTACAGAAACCAGACCAAGCTCTCCGCCCTGCATAGCTGGTGCAAGTCCAAGTGGTAAGAATCTGCAGGAACCTCCTAACGAGGAGTTGGTTTTTTTTTGCATATAATGATGGAGGTGGGGGTCTAGTCCAACCTCTTGCAATAGGGAAGACCCCTAAGTAGGGGACTAGGAAAGGTAGCACTGGGAGGTGGGCTGAAAGAGACAGAAGCAAACATCTGGGAAGCAGGAGGCTGGCTCTTCCTTATAGCTCCCAAGCCTCTAGTCTCTCTGCTCTGCTGTGCAAGATGGCAGCTTCAGCAATCCAGGCCTCTGGATATGAAGGGGAAGGATGGAGGAAAACTGAATTCAGCCTGTAGTTAAGCCCAACTCTTGCCTGCTTCCCATCTCCCTCAGTTCCAGCCTGCTGGCGATTCCCAGAAGAGAAACCTCTTGCTGCTCCCACCCCTCAGTCTTTGACTTTTCCTATGTAGAGACCTCAGCTTGTCCCACAACTCTCTTCCTTTCCCCACCCACAGCTTCCTCCAGCCCTGCTGCCAAGGTATTCTGGGGAATGGGCCCGAAGAGGGTGGCCCTCATCGTCTGCCTTCTTGTCCTCATTGTGCTGCTGATTGCCCTCATCCTGCTCTGTGAGTTCTTCCCTTTTCTCTTAGATTAGAATAACAGGGTTGGAAGAGACCTTGGAGTCCAATTCCCTGCCCATGGCAGGGGACCCTATAACATTCTAGACAAATGGCTGTCCAATTTCTTCTTTAAAACCTCCAGTGATGGAGCACCCACAACTCCAGGAGGGAAGCTGTTCCACTGGTTAATTGTTCTCATTGACAGGAAATTTCTCCTTAGTTCTAGATTGGAACTGTAATGATCTTCCACTCGTTACTTCTTGTCCTGCCCTCTTATTTTGTTTGCTTGCAACTTATGGTGTGCAGGAATGACTTCCTGGTTCTTTCCACCTACCTAGAAGTTCTTTGCTGATATCTGAGGGGAGGCTCAGTCCAAAGAGCCAGGTCTCTTTGGTGAGCAAAGGAATTATCAGCAGAGTTTCCATTTCTGGTGAGATCAGGTTCCATGAAGGAAGGAGTAATATTTGCAACCTGGGGATGAGTGGCCGTGGGCAGTGGCTCTTCCTTTATGGAACTGCAATGCTCTGCCTCAGACCAAGTACTCCCTGCTCTGACAGGGGGGAGGGACAACTGCAGACCCCCCCTCACTTTTCTCTTGCCTGTTGCAGGACAGGAAACACGGCTGAGTCCCTGGGAGGGAGGGTCAATCTCACCCCCAGGATTACTTTGTCTTTTTGCAAGAATGCCGCTGCCTCATAGGAAGGCATCATCCTCTCCCTCCTCCCATGTTTGTTCAAAAGCTGCTCTGTCTCCATGGTAGGCAACATCCCATACCCTTAAATCTCTTCCTTATGCTGTGAAGGAGGAGGGCTACCCTCTTTTTGTGAGTCAAACACTGGGCAGAGACTTTCTGAGCAGGGAGAGGTCCAGCTTTTTCTCCTTCTCAGACATTCACAAATTGTCCTCCTGTAGGGACACCGGCAGTAATTTCTGAAAAAGGAAAGAGCCTACTCTGATACAGAGAAATGCATGTGAGTTGGTGTAAATATGTGCCCCACATTTCCAAGTGGTGAGCCTCTGCAGAGCCTCAAGGAGAAAACCAGGTTAAGACCTGGTTTCATTGTTATTCCTACTTCATGGAAGTTTGCTGGGAACCCATATTGCTCATAGGACATGCCAGAAACATTTCTTTTCCGTTCTTTATTGTTGATTTTGGAATCCATATACAGGAAGAGAAGGAGATTGAAGGAAAGCAGTTGAATGCCAGGACTCTGTTTGTCTCCTTCTCCTCCTCTTCCTCCATTCATACAATGGATGGAAACTAATCAAGGAGAGCAACCCAGAACTAAGAAGAAATTTCCTAATAATGGGAATGATTAACCAGTGGAATGGATTGCCTTCAGAAGTTGCGGGTGCTCCATCACTGGAGGCTTTTAAGAAGGGACTGGACAGTCACTTGTCTGAAATGGGATAGCCAGGTTTCACCTAATTTGTATTTATATATTTGGTTTTTCATGCCTAAGTGTAAAACATTACTTTTCTTTACATTACATTTCATTTTGTTTGATAGGGCCCAGTGTTCAAGTCTGTCAGGATCATTAATGAGTTCTACTTCCCTTTGCTACCGGTTTGGGACTGTGAGTGCGTGTGTGTGTGTGCTTGCTTTGCTCGCTTGCGGTGCTTCTGCGCATGCACAGAGCTTCCATGATGATGTCCGGGCAGGTGGGCGGAGCCTCTTGCCACTGCCACTACTGATTCACCCGAACCAGGGTGAACCGGTAGAAACCCACCACTGGTCAGGATCCATTTGGATCCTGAGCCCATCATCTGGGATGTTGGCTATCCCTGCCAGCTTTGTGTCATCTGCAAATTCGATGAATCCCCCTTCTATTCCTCATCTAAGTCATTTATGAAGATATTGAAGAGCCTAACCCTAACCCTAACCCTAACCCTAACCCTAACCCTGGGCCTACAGCAGAACCTTGGGGTACCCCACTGCTTACTTCCCTCCATGTAGATATATTACTATTAAGGACCACATGTTGAATATGGTTTGTCAGCTAGTTGCAAATTCATCTGGTGGTGATGCTGTCTATCCCACATTTTTCTAGTGTATCATGACGTAGGTTATGGTCTACTTTGTCAAATGCTTTACTGAAATCCAAGTATACTATTTCCAGAGAATTTCACTGCCCTTTTCCAAAGCTGCTCAGAAGTATAGTGTCCAGAACTGGCCAATGCAAAATAAATTGAAATGATTCATTATGTGCTTTGGAAATGACAACTAATGCTGTGACCCCCTCTGTGCCAGATGTCTGGCTCCTTCTGTTCCTTGGGGTGTGAGATATTTTGTGAATGTGCCTAGGATTGGATTTAGATCATTCTGAAAACCAGCATCTGATCCCTGGCAAATGCTATTCAGATTTTGATGATGCCCCAAAAGCATGGGGCAGCAGCACAACTGATTTCTGTTTCTCAGCCCCTTGTGTCATTTGCACAAGCAGCTGCAACGTGAACCGCTTTTTGTGCCCTTCTTAGAGACACAGAAGGGGAGAGAAAGGGGAAGGAGGTGAGAAAGAGAAGCAGTTATCCTTTTAGCACAGAGGTCACCAACTGAGAAAATTTTGGTGGTCCACAGCGCACCCGAACTGCTCCAGGATGACCAATGGCTAGTCCTGTGACTACAGCTCTGGAATATGGGACCAGCCAGGCAGATCATGGTGGGGCTGGAAATCTCCCTGGTAGAGGGAGCTACGTGCAACTTGCAACTTTGCAGGAGGTGCAAGGAGTAGCACAGCCCTCACCAGCCGGAACGAGGTAATGGTACAAACAGGGGGTGGGGGTGGGGGCAGGCAGGCCAAAGCAACGGGTGTCAGCAACCCACGGCTCTTTCTTCCCCCTGCTGTGGCTTCCTGTCGACTGAACCCACCATTGGCTGTCCCCGCCCCTCACCCTCTCAGTCACTCCTCACCTGGCCTGAGAAGGGAAGGGCAGGGGATGGAGATTCACTCCATGTTTCAGACCGGGAGTGAAGCTTCATCTGTTGCTGGGTCTTGCAGTCATTTCTTCCAGCCCTTGTTGGTGCTCCACTCAGCTCTGTCTCTCAGGGAGACATGTGACTTCCTCTCAGCCCCGAGACACTGGCCCGGTCCGGCTGTTTCTCCCCGTCCGCTGCTGTTGGCGCCTCCATGGCCTGCCCACTGCTCTTGCAGTTCAGTTAAATTTAGCACGCTTCACAATGGGGGGGGAGAGAGAGCAGGTCATGCGTTCAGCACCAATAAAGGCTGAAGAAGTGCCCACGAGATCCATATTTGATGAATATTTGTATTCATTTCATGTATTCAAATCATGTTTATACTTATATATATTATCTAATACGTGCTTGACAAAATAAATAAATAAAATGAATAAATATGCTGGGGCTGGGGCACCAGCTGATTTTAATAGCATGGACAACTTTCAACAGATGAGAAATGAACGAACTACAGAGGCCCACAATTTCTGGGTTACAGAGCACTTTCCCCGGAATCAGGGGGGTTCTGCTAGTATCCTTTGCATGATCATATTTTACTTAAAGGCAAACTTTCACGAGCTGCAGCTGACTTCATCAGATGTATGGATAAAGTTTTGTGGTCAGAAACGATGCTATCAGTCTCCATCTGATTTATGGCTACTCTGGACTAACATAGATCTCCTTTAAAACTTTCCCCCCTAGAGACTCATCTGTGGTGATGCCTGCACATCACAATGCTGAGGAATGATCTATGGCACAAATGCTGCTTCCAATTCTCTGCAAGAGTCTCTGGAGGGAACATATCTGCCACCTGCTGCCTAATAACAATAAGAACTGGGAACTTGTTCAGCTGGCAGTGCCAATGATGAAGAGGTGCAGTTGCCAGTGCCAGGCTTTGCTCCTTGCAGTCTAGACAGGACACAGTAAATCCAAAGAGTGAGAAGCTCAGAAGCTCTAATCAATAGTCTTTATGAGAAGAAAAACTGAGGCGATACACAAGAATTTCAACAAGTCCCTTGTTTGTTTATTTCTCCCACTTTCTATGTGGAGGGGCGGGGGCATGTGCAATGGTTCCCTGCTTGGTGGTCTGGAGTCTGGATTCCTTTTGTCAATGTAAGAAATAATCCCCCTACTTAAAAACTCACCTCAATTTGTTCATTGTTCTTGCTTGTGTCTTGCTACTCCCAGTTTTGTTCTGGCGGTCCAGCACAGGCATTGTGTACAAGCAGCCAGCGGAGAGCTGCAGTGACCATGCTGTGCGGTGTGATGGGGTTCCTGACTGTTCTCAGAGGACCGATGAACTGGACTGTGGTAAGGCCGGAAGGTTTTGGGGAGCCGGGTGACAGAACTTGGGCTGGGAGGCTACTTCCCTCCCAGGAACTCCCATTCAGGTCCTTTCTGTCCTCACCTGTTCTGCAGTGCGCTTTGGGTGGAACCAGTCCTTGCTCCATGTCTACTCAGGAGCAGAGAGGGAGTGGCTGCCTGTCTGCAGCCAAGCCTGGACTGAGGCCTTCTCCCGAAAGACCTGTCAGCAGCTTGGATTCCTTAAGTAATGCTGGGCCTCCTTGTAAGGTGGGGAGGGAGTCCACTGAAGGAAGGAAAGAAGCTCCTGTCTTCTCTTAGCCTCTGGCTTGCTTTGCTGGTCCTGTTCACGTGCAGAGTGCCCTGGTGGCAACTTTTCAAGCAGTGGAAAGAGCTGTTTGGGGACTGCACTCCTTCAGATTAATCGGGGAGGGGGGAACTTCTTGGGAGGAAAATAGATGTGGCTGTTCATAAACTGAGAATCTTGGGGGGCTGCATGCCGTGCCAGGGATGTTTTGTAGTACAAATAATGTTGAGTTTTTAGTCACTGTCCACTCCTGGCCAAGCGGTGTCCATGGTGGCCTGGCTTGCCAGGTGCAGGGGAAGCTACTCCATAGCTGCTCTGTGCAGTAAAACAGCCCTCTCCAGGCATCCTTTAGCTGCAACACTCTTTTGCCTCCCTAGTGCTTCCGACACAGAATATGTCCCTCTGGCCTTTTCTGGGAAAAGTCTCATGGTTGGCGAGATGCGAAAAACCATTCAGCAGAGTCTCAACAGGTAATGGGCTGCTTGGGGTGAGGTGGTGGGTTGGAAGGATGCCCCCTCCATTGTGACCACTGCCAAGTGCTGGCAGATCCGCACCATTCAGGACAGATGGCCTCAGAGGGCTTCCTGGCCAAGGACAGCTTGGTCTGCTAGAGCCACTGCTGCTGCTTCTGTTGCTGCACACCCATAGCTCTCTGGGCAGAAGGGATGCCCTTGGCTCAGTGATCCTGACCCTCAGGTGCCATAGAGGATCACAGACCTGGTAAGGTTTGTGATTCATTGGTAGTGCATCAATGCACATGCACAAAGACACACAAAACTCTAGTCTTCCAACTGAGAAACGAAAAAAACCTAGCTCATCTTTGATTGGCTTGTTCATTATTTGGCCAAAAAGTGCTTAGGAAATGGGGTTGTACATTTCTCAAGATAGTTTGCCACGTGTTGTCTGGGACCAGAGGCATCTGCTATGCCCTATTTTTACCGAAGACATCAATTTTCCATAAGGAACAAGATCCTAGTACATCAATAGTGTAATGAAAAATTAGAACATTCACACCTTGCAAAGTGTGACCCTCAAGACTGAGTGTAACAATTAGTGTTTAGTTAAGCTCTTAGTCATGCTTTGGTGGAAGGTGCTTGATTCTCCTGTTTGGAAATCAGTATCAGAGGTGCTTTTCTGCCAAAATCCAAATTCTGCTATCATTTGGCACGTGGCTTTGTAGCACTCCCCCCACCCCCAAATATCTCCCGTTTTCTCCCATCCTCTGCCCTCGCTTGACCATCTATAGGCTGGCAGCTAACTTGGTGCAGGCAGGGACCACAGCACTATGTCTCCAGATCTCCTTCATGGAGGGTTTGAACCATTCGTCCTCAGCTTCATCTATGGGAAGTCAATGTGAAGGGACTCACTTGTCCCTCCTCAAGAAGCCTTCCCTGGACCCAGCAGTATTAGCCAACTATCATCCTGTCTCCAACCTTCGCTTTGTGGCGAAGGTTGTCGAGAGTGTGGTCGCACGACAGTTTCCGCAGTACCTGGAGGAAATGTCTTATCTAGATCCGTTCCAGTCGGGTTTCAGGCCCAGGCACAGCACGGAAGTGGCATTGGTCGCGTTGGTAGATGATCTCTGGAGGGCTCGGGACAAGGGTTGCTCCTCTGTTCTGGCCCTGTTAGACCTCTCAGCGGCTTTTGATACCATCGACCATGGTATCATGCTGCACCGGTTGGAAGAGTCGGGGATGGTGGGCACCGTGTTATGGTGGTTCTCCTCCTTTCTCTCAGACCGGTCGCAGTTCGTGTTGGCTGGGGGGCAGAGGTCGACCTCGAGGCCTCTTATATGTGGAGTGCCTCAGGGGTCGGTCCTCTCGCCCCTTCTATTCAACATTTATGTGAATCCGCTGGGCGAGATCATCCATGGCTTTGGGGTGAAGTACCATCAGTACGCTGATGACACCCAGCTGTACATCTCCACCCCAGGCCACCCCAACGATGCCCTTGAAGTGATGTCCCAGTGCCTGGAGGCTGTGCGGATCTGGATGGGGAGGAACAGGCTCAAGCTCAACCCTTCCAAGACTGAGTGGCTGTGGTTCCTGGCATCCCGATATAGTCAGTTGACTCCATCACTGACTATCAGGGGCGAGTCTTTGGCCTCCGCGGAGAGGGCGCGCAATCTGGGAGTCCTCCTGGATACGCAGCTGTCCTTGGAGGAACATCTGACGGCTGTAGCCAGGGGGACCTTCTGTCAGGTTCGCCTGATTCGCCTGTTGCGGCCCTTTCTTGATCGGGATTCCCTGTGGACAGTCACTCATGCCCTCATCACCTCTCGCCTGGAATACTGCAATCCTCTCTACATGGGGCTACCCTTGAAGAGCACCCAGAGGCTCCAACTGGTCCAGAATGCGGCCGTGCGGGTAGTCACAGGAGCCGCATGGCGCTCCCATACAACACCTCTTCTGCGTGAGCTGCACTGGCTCCCAGTGGTCTTCCGGGTGCGCTTCAAGGTGCTGGTTATCACCTTTAAAGCGCTCCATGGCATAGGACCTAGTTATCTTCAAGACCGCCTGCTGCTACCGACGGCCTCCCATCGACCTGTGCGTCCCACAGAGAGGGCCTCCTCGGGGTGCCATCAGCCAAACAATGTAGGCTGGTGACTCCCAGGGGGGAGGGCCTTCTCTGTGGGGGCACCTACCCTCTGGAATCAGCTGCCCCCAGAGATAAGGAAAATCCAAGACCTCGATGCCTTCCGCCGTGCCCTTAAAACCTTCTTTTTCCAGCAAGCCGGGCTGGCCTAACACTTTTAAAAATATTTTTAATTGTCTGTTATTGTTTTTAATCATGGGGCCAAATTTATATATATCTTTTTAATTGTATTTTAATGTTTGTAGTTTATGTTTTTACTTGGCTGTTCACCACCCTGAGTCCTCAGGGAGAAGGGCGGTCTACAAATTTAAAAAATAAATAAATAAATAAATAAATAAATAAATAAATAAATAAATAAATAAATTGCTCTCTGCAGCTTCCCTCTGCCTGGGCCCTCGAGAAGACGGGTCTTTCTTCCAGACAGGCAGACTGACTTGGGGATTCTGAGCATTCCGCTTGGCTGGTGAAAGACCCCATTGGCTGCATTGGCTCTGTTTCTCATTTAACCTCTAATTTATTGATCTCCTCTACAGCTCCCAGTGCCGTTCTGGAAAGCATGTTTCTCTCCGATGCACAAGTAAGGAGACAGAGGAAGCTGGAAGTGGGTGGGCCTGGCTCTGACACCGAGGGGCTTTTGTATTTCTGCCCCATAGCTGAGGAGGGATGAAGTCGTGCCCTAGGGCTGACCTGCTCAGGCTAGGCTCAGCTGCACTCTTTCTCCTTCTTTCATAAGCTGCTATCTCAATAGATCAAACCAGCATGCAAAGCCATGCCACCGAGTGCCTCTGCCTTCCGGGGCAGTACAGAGACTACTGTACTGTCTTCACACTTTGAAAAGCAATAAAAGTTATAAACATCATGGAGCAGAGCCTGTCAGAGAACTACCCTTCAAAACTTAGGACATGCACATCACGTGGGGGCTGGGCTGGGGCTTGGCTAATAAAAAGGGACCTTGCCTGCATCTCCAGGTGGGTTGGTGTGGTGCATGTGGAGGGCTTGTCTGTGCTCCCCCAACTGAGGTTCTTGGATGTTTCTCCTTGCAGACTGTGGGCAACGGATATCTGGCCGCATTGTAGGAGGCACTGAAGCATCTGCCAGTAAATGGCCTTGGCAAGTGAGCCTCCAGTATGGCTCTGCTCACATCTGTGGTGGCACTATCATTGATGCACAGTGGGTGCTGACCGCAGCCCACTGCTTCTTCATGTAAGGCCAACCTCTGGATTAACTTGGGAGGGCAGTGGGATACTTGTAGAAGGGAAGCTCCCCACCAGGATGCCTGCCAGAAGGAGAAGCCCAAAGGGCCAGGCTACTGCAGAGAGGCAGAACTTCCCACCTGGTGCTTTGTCCATTATTCTGCCTGGCATTTCTTGAGACCCAGCAAAATAATGAGGACAACCCATAACTAATTCTCATCAGAGTCTTCTTTTGGATCAATTTGCTGTCTCAATTTGAATAATTAAATTGGATTGATTTTCCAAAACAACCCATTGTATAGGATCAGGGTTGATTCCCACAGCCCTCATCTCAGAGAAATCTCCCTCTGGATATCTATGCTCTGAGTCTGAGCCAAAGGCAGGGACTCCTGTAACTTTTTGCCTTTGGACTTTTTAGAAATAGCGTGAAAATACTGGATGAATGGAAGGTATATGCTGGTACCTCTGATCTCAAGCAGACGAAGGAGGGGATCCTGGTCTCTGAGGTCATCATTAATGCTAATTACAGTGATGATCACGATGACTATGACATTGCCCTGATGAAGCTCTCCCAGCCCTTGGTCCTCTCAGGTGAAGTTCTCGAATGCCTCCTGAGCAGTTCAGCTCAGCCTGTTTTTCTTTTGTTCAAGGAAGGGCTCATTTTAATGTTGCCAGGTGTCCACTATTTGAGCGGACAGTCCGCTTTTTTCACATTATGTTCACTATTTTTTTTCACAAAATAGTGGACATTTTTTTTATTCAAAATCTTTATGATGAAATTAAAATGTAATTTAATATTTTACATATTATTATAATATATTTGATGTTTTGAATTTTAAGTAAAGTTTTGAAGTGATTATTTTAATACGTGTTAAAATGTTTGTAAGAAAATATATAATTTAATTGTAAATTTTTTTTTATTTTTTTACTACTTAACCCCCCCCCACTTGTCCGCTATTTTTTGGAAGCAGACCTGGCAACCCTAGCTCATTTGCTTGACCCTCTTTTCCAGCTCAGGTTCGCCCAGCTTGCCTTCCCATGTCAGGCCAAAGGTTTCTTCCTGGGAGGGCCTGCTTCATCACAGGCTTTGGCAAAATCAGTGAAAATGAAGGTAAGATGGGCGAGTGGACCTCATTTGCTAGACCGTGGCACAGAAAAGGTGAGCTTTCCCCTCACTGGACATCTTCTAATAAAGGCTAGGCAGTCACCTGCCAATATGCTTTAGGAGTGAGGTGGGGACTCCTTAGCTATAATGGAACTTTTTCCTTCTGTGATTCCATGACCAAACTCGATTCCAGCATGGGAGGCTGAGGGTTGTCCAGGGCTCTCTTTTCATCACATAATTTTTGCCTTTTGCAGAGAATACATCACCCAAGCTGCGGGAAGCAGAAGTGGAGATCATTGACTATCGGCTCTGCAACAGCCGTAAGGTCTACGAGGGATTCTTGACTCCCCGGATGATGTGTGCTGGGTTTTTGCAAGGAGGCAAAGACTCTTGCCAGGTAAAAGAGGTTTTATTGCCTGAAGAGAAAGTGGAAGAGTTCTCCTATGCAACCTTAGACTGATGCAACAAGTTACAAGTCTGGTAGATTTTAGTGAATTTTCCCACACCAACTGAGACAGAGATAAGGGAAGGTTATTAGGAAGATGGTAGCAAAAGTCCTCAAGGAAAGAAAAGCTGCTCACCCAGTCTGTGGTTCCATGTGAGTTCCTTGAAAGCAGATCCAGAACCGAAGCCCAAAGTCCAATCCCTGGGAAAGGGATCGGAAGGGATGGCCTCAGGACATGGGAGACTCTCTTGGAGGACATGTTTCTATATTCAGTGTTTCCAGTTAGAGCTGCCTCCTCCTCTCTTGAGGACTCCAATCTCCATTGTGTCAGGGTTCCAAGTAACACCCCCAACGAAATAAAACTCCGAGGCTTGAAATTTCTCAAAGCTAACTTTTATTGGAGATGTCATATTGGCACATCTGGGAAAACCCCAATCTGAGAGCTTCTGGGCTTTCCACACCCAAAAGAAAGTTCAAGACCTTTCCCCCCACCCACATGTCCACCACACATCCAATCATGTACAGTCTGGAACAGAAGATATCTTCCCATTCTTCTCAGCACAGCTGCAGGGCACCTTGGCCTTGACTTTCTATAAAGAATTTTGTTTTGACTACATGTCTTCTTCCCTCTATACTAAGGTGACCAGATTTTAACATTGGTAAAGAGGGACACCATTGTGGGCATGGCTTATTTTGTGGGCGTGGCTAGCTGGTCATGTGACTGGGTGGGCGTGGCTAGCTGGTCATGTGACTGGGTGGCCATGGCTATGTGTATAGGGACTACTCAGAGGGCTGAAAAAAGTCATTTCTGACAGGTCCTCGCACTTTTGACTGGTCCTCACACTTATGACCATCCTCACATTTATACCCGTGCAGCATTTTTAACAACCATGTCACTCATTTCACAACTGCTTCTCTTCATCATGGTGATAAGATAGGGCAAAAAACGTAAAATGTGAGGACGGTCGTAAGTTTGAGGACTGGTCAAAAGTGCGAGGACCAGTCAAAAATAACTTTTTCAGCCCTCTGAGTAGTCCATATGCCCAAAAGGACTAACCAGAGGGCTAAAAAAGTCATTTCTGACAGGTCCTCGCATTTTGACTGGTCCTCATACTTATGACCATCCTCACATTTATGCCCATGCAGCATTCTTAACAACCATGTCACTCATTTCACAACTGCTTCTTTTCACCATGGTGATAAGATAGGGCAAAAAACGTAAAATGTGAGGACGGTCGTAAGTTTGAGGACTGGTCAAAAGTGTGAGGACCAGTCAAAAATAACTTTTTCAGCCCTCTGAGTAGTCCATATGCATAAAAGGATACAGCAATAGAGAGGGATGAAGGAAGGGAAGAGAAATTAGAGTAGGAGTGAGGGTAAGAGAGAGAGGAAGAGAGGAGAAGGAGAAAGGAAGAGGAAGTAGGGAGGAGAAGAAGAGGGTGGGGGGAAGAGAAAGTAAGAAAGAAAGAAAAGAGAGAGGTGGTAGGTTTGAGGAGAAAGATTGCTGTACAATAAAAAAGATGAAAGGGAAGAAAGCCAACCCCAAACAAATATAAAGATATTAAGATAAAGAATGAATTGTTAAACTTTAAAGAATAAAAGAGAACAAATATGAATAAATAGCAATAATTAGAAACACACATACAAACATACAATGTATTTTCTTTGAACAGAATATTTGGCTGGTTCACAAATTTAAACAGTGTTTAATCATTTCAATTAAATTTACAATTTCTATATTTCCTTTTTGTCATATTTATTCCTCATCTATTTTTTAAAAAAACCAATATTATCCTTCATCCTCATCTCTAATCTTAATCAAATTCAATTTTTCCCTTCTATATTATACCCCTTCACATTGTCATCTATTTTTATATCCATCCTCACATTGGTTAATTTTGTAATTATGCAATACAGTTGTTTAATACAAATTCAACATTTTAATATAAATCAATTAGTTATATAACTATCTTTTTTGTATATTAATCAATATGAACATGAATATTCCAATTATTTCCATGCAATCCAATTTCTTACAAATCAATTAATTATATTTACCAATAATAATAAACCAAATAATTTCCCCCATATATTCCTCCAAACCACAACTTAACCATTTCTGCTTTCAACACAATATACAATTAATAGTATCTCAATTATCACAATTCCCTAATTAAATAGAGCTTTTTATCTTTGTGTTTTAAAATCTTGAACTCTCCTCTTTTGCCCTAAATTTCCCATTGTTTGCAGTTTTGCACCTACCTTTTTTGGTGAGGAAAAAAAAGAAGAAATCTCTCTCTGCCTCATTTTGTCATGTTGCAGCAAAGACCCTGCTTTACTTTCGCTTTCGCTTTTCAGCATAGCTAGGGGGAAAAAATCTGCTCCAGGAACTCTTTGCAGCTAGCAACAGAACAGAGCTCTGCGCAAAACAGCTGAGAGCAAATCAGCTGAAAGTGGGGAAGCCGAGCTAATCAACTTGTGCTAATTAACCTATGCGGAAGCTGTAAGGGGCTGTTTTTTCTATTTTTGCAGGCATCAGTCTACTCATTTGTTTTCTTTTAACACTGATCACCTGTAGGGCGGCCCTTTGAAGCCCCGCAGCAAGAGTTTAAACAGTTTTTTTCCCTCTAGCCATCAGCTGGGACTCAGGAGGCAGACGGGACTCAGGAGGCAGAATGAAAAATCGGGACTTTTTTAAAATGCTGCGGGACGCGGGACAAATTGCTAAAAATCGGGACTGTCCCGCCAAAAGCGGGACGTCTGGTCACCTTACTCTATACCAGTGATGGCGAACCTTTTTGCCGTTGTGTGCCAAAAGCAGGGGGAGCATGGGGTGGGATGGGGGTTGTGTGTGCATGCCCACATCCATAATTCAATGCGCCCTGCCCGCCTGCGCATACACGTGCGACCCCCCCACTCTCCCACTTTTGGCACGCGATGGCACAGTGGACCCAGTAGGCTTGTTTTTCGCCCTCCCCAGGCTCCAGAGGCTTTCTAGGAGCCTGGGGAGGGTGAAAACGGCCATCCCCACCTGCCCTGGAGACCGGAAATGGTCCACTTGCTGGCTTCTGGTGGGACAGGAAGGCCGTTTATCACTCTCCCCAGGCTCCAGAAACTTTCTATGAGCCTGGGGAGGGCGAAAACCCCCGGGGGAGAGTTTTGCTATTCTGGCCCACAACACTCCTGCCCCCCCCCCCGGTGGGATGGTTCTTTCAAATTCAGAATTACCATTGCTATCACTTTTAAAGTGTTTGAATGTGCTACATCTTCCTTATTTAAAATTAGCTTTAAAATGATTTTATTGCTGTGATTTTAAAAAATATTCTACAAATGTGACAGAATAGCATTCAAACTAGAACTGTAGTTTAAGGTCCGAATCTTAAAATGAAACCATGCAAAAAATCCCACTTTTCTATCATCCCCATTGAGCACAATATTATTTCAGAAAATAATTTCTGAAGAGTTAGTGATATTGTATTATGCAACTATACTGACTTCATTTAAATGATATTTCACTAATTACAGACAGAAAAGCTGATGGAAATATCCATGCTAAAAAAGAAATGGGCTAATCCAAAGGTGCCACCTGCAAAGGTAGCAGCTGCTGCATGTTGTGCTGTGACAGACCCTCAAACTCACTGCCAGAAGGGCATCTGGATAGACATTTGGCATTTTTTTCAGAAAACCAGATTTTTGCCACAGGAAAGTTAGATGGACCACCAGGGAACATTGTTGATGGCACACCAACACACTTCATAAAAGATGGAAGGCATTCCCCTTGCAGGACATGGAAGCGCCCTCCACTCAGGGCTGGGCCCTTTTTCTACGAAACCCCAATTTTAGAATAGAATAGAATAGAATAGAATTCTTTATTGGCCAAGTGTGATTGGACATACAAGGAATTTGTCTTGGTGCATATGCTCTCAGTGTACATAAAAGAAAAGATACATTCGTCAAGAATCATAGTCATAGGGAAACAGTCAATATAAAACTTAAGGATACCAGCAACAAGGTTACAGTCCTATAATCATAAGTGGGAGGAGATGGGTGATAGGAATTCATTTTTTTCATTTTTCATTTTATTAGATTTATATACCGCTCTACTCCTGAAGGACTCAGGGCGGTGAACAGCCAGAAAGATAAAACACACAAACTACAAAATTTAAAAGACAATATAAAAACTCATTAAATAATTTGGCTCAAAACAATTTAAAAACACCCCTACTGTTTTAAAACCAATTTTAAAAGTTACAATTAAAAGGGAAGTTAGGCCAGGCCAGCCTGTTGAAATAAATAGGTCTTGAGGGCACAGTGGAAGGTGCATAAATCTGGGATCCTCCATATCTCCAGGGGGAGCTCATTCCAGATAGCAGGTGCCCCCACAGAGAAGGCTCGCCCCCTGGGGGCTGCCAGTCGACACTGTTTGGCCGACGGCACCCTGAGGAGCCCCTCTGTATGTGAGTGTACTGGCCGGTGAGAGGCTACTGGTGGCAGAAGGCGGTCCCGTAAGTACCCTGGTCCTAAGCCATGGAGCGCTGTAAAGGTGGTAACCAAAACCTTGAAGCGCACCCAGAGGACCACCGGGAGCCAGTGCAGCTCGCACAGGAGAGGTGTCACATGGGAACGCCACGTCCCTCCCATAACCACCCGTGCGGCCGCACTCTGAACCAGCTGGAGCCTCCGGGTGCTCCTCAAGGGGAGCCCCATGTAGAGAGCATTACAATAGTCTAGGTGGGAAGTGATGAGGGCATGAGTGACTGTGCGTAAGGAGTCCTGATCCAGAAAGGGACGCAACTGGCATATCAGGCGGACCTGATAGAAAGTCCTCCCGGTCACAGCCGTCAAGTGCTCTTCTAAAGACAGCTGTGAAGGAGGACGCCCAAGTTGCGAGCCCTCTCCGTGGGGGCCAATGACTCGCCCCCAATAGTCAGTGATGGCACCAACTGACTATATCGGGATGCCAGAAACCACAGCCACTCAGTCTTGGATGGGTTGAGCCTGAGTCTGTTTCTCCCCATCCAGATCCGCATGGCCTCCAGGCACTGGGACATCACTTCAAGGGCATCATTGGGGTGGTCCGGGGTGGAGATGTACAGCTCCAGGAATGATGAGAAGATTAATAATAGTAATGCAGACTTAGTAAATAGTTTGACAGTGTTGAGGGAATTATTTGTTTAGCAGAGTGATGGCGTTCGGGAAAAAACTGTTCTTGTGTCTAGTTGTTCTGGTGTGCAGTGCTCTATAGAGTCGTTTTGAGGGTAGGAGTTGAAACAGTTTATGTCCAGGATGTGAGAGGTCTGTAAATATTTTCACAGCCCTCTTTTTGACTCGTGCAGTATACAGGTCCTAAATGGAAGGCAGCTTGGTAGTAATTGTTTTTTCTGCAGTACTAATTATCCTCTGAAGCAGTAGTGGATTGCCCCCGGTTCGCACCAGTTCTATAGAACTGGTACTAAAACCGGCGGGAGGCTCCGCCGATCAACCCGACATCACTAAAATGATTCTGCGCATGCGCAGAACAGCACACGGCCCCGCTGCGAACCGGGAGTAAAGGTAAGTAGAACCCACTCCTGCTCTGAAGTCTGTGTCTGTCTTGTTGGGTTGCAGAACCAAACCAGACAGTTATAGAGGTGCAGATGACAGACTCAATAATTCCTCGGTAGAACTGTATCAGCAGCTTCTTGGGCAGTTTGAGCTTTCTGAGTTGGCACAGAAAGAACATTCTTTGTTGTACTTTTTTGATGATGTTTTTGATGTTAGGTGTCTATTTTAGGTCTTGCAATATGGTAGAAACTAGAAATGTGAAGGTCTCTACTGTTGATACTGTGTTGTCTAGTATTGTAAGAGGTGGTAGTATGGGAAGGTTTCTACTAAAGTCTACCACCATTTCTATGGTTTTGAGTGTGTTCAGTTCCAGATTGTTCTGGTTGCACCATGAGGCTAGTTGTTCAACCTCCCGTCTGTATGCGGATTCATCATTGTCTCGAATGAGACTAAACACTGTTGTGTCATCTGCGAACTTCAGTAGTTTAACAGAGGGATCGTTTGAGATGCAGTCATTGGTATATAGAGAGAAGTGGAGAGAGCACACAGCCTTGTGGAGCCCCTGTGCTAATTGTACAGGTATCTGATGTGATTCTGCTAAGCTTCACCTGCTGCTTCCTATCTGTTAGGAAACATATGATCCATTTACAAGTGTGTTCAGATACCGCTAGCTGGTTTAGCTTGGTTAGAAGGATGTCTGGAATGATGGTGTTGAATGCTGAACAAAAGTCTAAAAGAGGACCCTTTCATAGGTCTTTGGAGATTCAAGATGTTGTAGGATGTAGTGCAGAGCCATATTAACAGCATCATCAGTTGATCTGTTTGCTTGTTATGCAAATTGCAGGGGGTCTAACAGCAGATCTGTGATGGTTTTTAAGTGAAACAGCACTAGCCTTTCAAAGGTTTTCATAACTACAGATATTAGAGCAACTGGTCTGTAGTCGTTCAGTTCCTTGATGGTGGGCTTCTTCGGCACTGGGATGATAGTAGAGCGTTTGAAGCAAGAAGGAACATAGCACATCTCTAGCGATTTATTGAAGATATGGGTGAAGATGGGGACCAATTGGTCAGCACAGACTTTTAAGTGAGAAGGAGTTATCTTGTCTGGGCCTGGAGCTTTTCCTGGCTTTTGTCTGTGAAATAGGTCTTGCACTTCCTTTTCTGTGATCACTAGGGTTTGTGAACCCAATGGGATGGGGTCAGTTGAAGGAGGTTTGGCTGTTGTTAGTGTGTCTGAGATGGGGGTTGTGGAGATAGGTGGCTGTAGTTTCCTTTCAAACCTGCAGTAAAACACGTTCAGGTCATCTGCCAGTTGTTGATTTCCTTCAGCCTGGGAGGGAGGTTTACCATAACCGGTGATATGGGCTTACCAGTGGTACAAATTACCAAACTCCAGAATGCCAGGTAGGGATTGTGATCTTCAACTCCCTAATGCCCGTCTCTTTTTGCCTAGGGTGACAGCGGTGGCCCCTTGGTTTGTCAGGACAATAATCGATGGTACTTGGCTGGGGTCACCAGCTGGGGAACTGGCTGTGGCCAGCGAAACAAGCCAGGCGTCTATTCCCAAGTGATCAAGTTTCTTGGTTGGATTTACAGCCAAATGGAGGTGAGAAGGTCCTTGCTTGCTTGCTGGGATGTAAATAGGGGAATTCAGGTGGCATGCAGAAGTTGGAAATGGGCATGGAAAGAAGCTAGAGCAAGAGGGACATTTGCACCCACTCCCAACATGCTTCATTAAACATGGGGCAAAGGCAGGCTTAATTGAGCTGCCCACCTGATGCGGCAGAGATTTGATTTAGGCCTGGCTGTACTTGGCATCCTGCAAACTGCTCTACGGGAGAAGCACTGAGCCTTACTTTACCTTTCCCAGGGAACATTCAAGCACAGAGCCTCCTTTCCCTATGCAGCTATCAGGGAGAGGCAAAATAAACAGAAATACCAGGAGTGGAACTTGCCCTCCAACTCAGATTATGCATAACTGGGGGATGTGGGGGTGGCATCTTCCTTTCTCTCAGAAAAGGGGATGTGGGGAGAAGGCAGCAGCCTCTCAGCTGCCTGGTGCTAGCTTGGGGCACAGCAAGGAAGGTTTGTCTACCAAGGACTGGGAGAGGTGAGCTATTCAGGCTGTGCCAAGGGATCACTGCAGATTTAAATGACAGTCCTGAGACAGCAATACTGTTTATACACTGTTCCCATTAGCTTGGGATTTTGCTTAGCCGAGGAGTGTTTCCCTTTCCCCTTTGACCCTCAGCTGGCACTGGATGGATTTTCTCCCACAAGGCCAGAGGCTGTTTCTAGGCTTGTTCAGGATTCCCCTCTTTTTTCCTATCTTGCCTTGCAGAATCAGACCTCCTAGAAGAAGACGACAACCGCACCCCTTTCTGGGGAAGCGGAACAAGATTGTGAAGGTGGGGCGACTGCACCTTCTTGCCCTTGGGTTGCAAGGACACCGGTGGGGCAAGGGACACCTGGGCTCCTCCCAATGTTCTCTGAGTCCCCCAGGCTGCTCTTGGAACCAGTTGGGGACTCTGGTTTGAAGGATGCAGCTGGTGCTGAGGCTGGAGCCAACTGCTTAGCGAGACACGCTGGGGTAGGATGGGATGATCTTGCTCTGTGGGAGTGTCCTTCTGAGATCTGATCACACGTGGGCACCAGAAAGCGCAGACTACAGAGCCCTCAGCAGACAGAACAGGGTCAGCTGCAACCCTTCCTAGGGCAGGATCTGTCTGGCAGCACTACGGGCCCTTGGAAACTGGACTCGCTAGAACAGCCCTCTGCTGCCTCACTTCAGGGCTCCAGTACTTTTGCCTTGGCGGCCACTGTGACCCCTCCCCTGGAGAAGAGGAGGAACTGCACAAGGAACAAGCAGATGTAAACCCCCCCCCATGTTGACTTTTCACTCCCCAAGCACGCATCTCCTTTCCTCTCTCAAGTCTTTTCCTGAAAAGGAACACCTTGTTTGCTGAAAACAGAACTGCCAGTTTGGGCCTGCTCATTTTCCAGATTCCTTGCGCCAATCTGTTTCTCCGAATCATGGTGACAGCTGCCCCTTGCTGCCTCCCTGTCATCTTCTCTCTCTCGCTCTCTCCCTCTCCCTCTCCCTCTCCTTCTGCGATGGCTTGGAAATGGTCTCTGACAGCTAACCCGGAGAGGGTCTTCTTGAGCTCCACTGTTGGCGGTTCAGGGATTACCTTGCACATTGGCTGGTGTTACAATTGGAGCCAGTCTGAAAGCCGGTTTGTATTTGTGCATATGTGTGTGTTAGATTAAAGGTTCTAAGACATGAGAAAAAGCAGAGGAGGCAGAAGTGGCCCAAAGGTACCTCTTGCCTCAAGGAACAGTGGCCAGCAGTGCTCAGCAGAGGCCCCCAATCTGTGTCGAGTCGGGCCCTCCCATTCCCTCCTTTGACCAGATCATAAGAGACAGGCAATGATATCTTCTGAAATCACATTTAAGTGGGGAACTTTAGCGTGTGTGTGACGTTTCCCCATCTGTGGTCAACCTAATGCATCTCATAAGCAGCCCCCTTGGTAAAAAAGACACTCACCGGTCAAGGTACGGCAGGAGTGGGGAGTGGGGAGCGTTGGGACCCTGCCTCTGGTTACACTCCTTCAAGTCCACCAGCTAGTTCCTGGAGAATAGGAGAACCCAACTGACCAGCAGCAGGCACCTCAATCTCAGGTTTTAGGAGTGTGGGAGAAAAGGATTGAAACCGGCAGATATTTATTTATTTATTTATTTATTTATTTATTTATTTATTTATTTATTTATTTATTTATTATTTATTTATTTATTTATTTATTTGTTTGATTTATATGCCGCCCTTCTCTGGAGACTCAGGGCAGCATAGATAGAGGGACTCAGGCAGTCAAGCAGCACCCCAGTTCACCCTCCCACTTGCTTTTTGGACCTGACAAGCAAAGGCAGAGCCTCTGTGTGGGAAAACAAAGATACATCTCCAGGACTCCAGAAATTGCTTCAATATAGTCTCTCTTCTTCCCCAATGAATAGTGGAATACTACTATCCTCTCCTCTGGGGAGTTGGGAGTCAAGAATAGGGGTAGGAAAGGGGTCAGAAAGGTGCTCCGGAAACCAAGGAAGGGCAAAGCCAGGAGAGAAATGCTAGGCTTGTTCTTCCAATTCCTGCACACACACATTTAATTTCCACAAATTGGGAGGTGACAAAGCATGAAACTCTGGGATGCAACCGCTTTAATGAAGGAAATGCTGCTCCCCCACTTCCCCCCAGACAGGGCTGGCTGGGGAGATACAGGCAGTGTTGTGCCTACAGGGGAGGGGGGGGGATGCTGTGGGCAGGTCCAATGCCAGATTTCTGCTCCAGGTGCCTATTTTGCACCACCATCCAGTGGGATCATTCAGGTGACGGGTGGGTTGAGGGGCCCCCCAGAAGCTATAGTTTGTTGACCTGCATGATTGGCTCAATGGCACCTAGACGAATTAACCTCCAACATTAAGGGATCAGGGCTGAAGGACGCCCTTTTCTGGCTCCTGGAGATTCCAACCCAGAGGGGGCAAACTTCCCGGCCCAGGGCTGGACTCTGCAGGGGGTTTAGTTCAGGCCTCCCCGCTGTCAGATGGCACAGCTGGCAACAGGTGGACTCAAAAATCCAACTTTCTCTCTAGGTATAAATCTGCCTTCCTTGCTGCTGCCCCGGCCCCGCTGCAAGAAAGGCCCCAGCCGCAACAGCAGGGACCCGCGCATTGGAACAGTTCCCAGCGAAGGGAAGGCAGGGAAGGCTATGTATGTCCTGCCCCCCAAGTCCCTCCACCTAGGCTGGCGGACGGAGCCTTGCTCGGGAGCCTCGGCTCAGAAGGTCTGGGCGAGGGGGCTCTCAGCGCGGCCGCCCATGCTGACATCACACGCGGAGGGAGGGGAGAGACCCCCGACCCCGCCCGGGCACGTCGAGCGCAGCCAGCAGCCGCCCGCCTTTCCTCCGTGCGCGCGCTCGGGTCTCCGCTTTCGCCCAGCGCCTGCCTCGCTTCCCAGCCGAGAGCGGCCATGCCCGAGCCCCTGGCAAGCCCAGCCCTTGTCAGCTGCGAGGGGACGCGGGCGTGAGCCGAGCCACAGCCGGGAGGCAGGAGACGCCCACCCTGGTGCGCGGCCCTTCCCTCTGCGGACGCCGTCTGCCCGGGAAGCCCCCCGAGGGGAAGGTAGGAGGCGAGACGGGAGCAGCCAAACGGCCGGCACCGACGGCCTCGCCCTTTCCTACACTGGCAGGTCGAGGGCTCTGCGGCTGGGTGTCCGAGGCGGCCCCTCTGGGCGGCGGGGGCCCTCCGTTTCCCGCGCCCGAGCGCCTTTCTTCCGAGGACGCAGCCGGCGGAGAGCCGCTCTGCGAGGGGAGGGGGGCCGGGACAAGAACACCCGCAGCTCCGCCGGGAAGCGGCTTCTGGGCACGTGCGGGCTGCCGTCGGTTCGCTTGTGGAGCACAGCGGGGCGGCGAGGGGCGGTGGACCGGCCGGGCAGGCGGCTTTTTCTCGGGGTGGGGGTGGGCGGGAGGGACGACACCGCTGTTCTTCCGCACCCCGCCCTGCTGGCTTGCTGACTGCGGCCCCCGCCCTCACTCCAGCCGCCCTCCCCGTTCATCGCGGGTCTCTCTGGCTCGCCATTGGCTTCCGGTTGCCGTGTCAACCGCGGGCAGGCACGGCGCTCCTGTCGGGGGTTGCCTGGTTACCGCTCCTCTCCCGCCGTGGGGCGCCAGGACGCCTCGCCGGGCTGCCCCTCCCTGCCCGTGTGCCGCGACGTGCCCGGCGGGGAACCGCGCGCTCTTCCCCGCGACAGTCCGGGCGCCGCGGCGGACTCTCGGCCGCCCCTCGGAGTCGCGCCTTTCGGCCCTGGGGAGGCGCCTACTGTCGGCCCGCGTCCCCCGCGCCAGGACGCCGGGTCTGCTTTCGGCCCCCAGGGCTGCGTGGGGCGGGCGGGCGGGGCGCGCTTTGTTTACCAGCCCTGCGATTGGGGGCGGGGCGGGCCAGAGCCGCTGCCGCCGCCGCCTTCACGCGCAAAACATCTCGCGCAGCCCCTTCCCAGCGTTGCGCAGGCGCAAAGTTGGCCATGCTGGCTGCGTCGGGCTTTTAGGTCGTCTGTCTGCTATATTTGGAAAAGAAACACCGTCCCCCTCCCCCCTCTCAGCTGCTGGGAAGCAGCCACCAGGCGATTGGTTTGGATGCCTAAGCAGAAACGGGCGGGTCGTTTCTTCGGCCTCCGGAATGAGAGCGAACGAAGGGCAGGCGTGCATCCTCGCCATAAACGCCGCCCTTCAAGGGGGCGCAAAGGGCGCCTGGAGGGTGGGGGAGAAGCTGTCAAGGTCGCGCCGCTCTGGCCGGCCCAGAACTCTCTGTGCAGGTGGCCTTGCAAACATCTCCGGTGGGGGGTTTGTTATTGCAAGACCACAGCCTGAAGGGCAGTTGGCATCCTTAAGAGAGTGAAGTGGGTGAGATTCTGACGTCCTCTTGAGACTCTTGGTCTTCACCCACGGAAATGGCTGTGGGGCAGCTCAGTGAGATTTCCCACACTCTCCCTCCTGTGTTGGAATAATGCTGAGAGAGGCACTTAGAGGTGAGAGATGCACTTGCTTCAGACGTGAACGGTACTCTGCCCTCTTTACCTGTGCCCAGAGGACCCACGGCCCACCAGCTGCCATAATTCTTGAAAGCACAGTATGATTCAGAGCCCACTTGGCCAAACGTTTTTATTTCAGCAAGCCGGCCTGGCCTGAATAGGTTTTATGGGTTAGTTTTTTAATTGTATTGCTAGGGGTTTTAAATTGGGGCGGCTGTTTAATTTAATTCATTTTTAATTATTTTAACTTTTATATTTATGTTATTTTAATTCTTGGCTGTTCACCGCCCTGAGTCCCTTCGGGGAGAAGGGGGGATATAAATTAAATTAAATAAATAAATAAATGAAGGAAGGAAGGAAGGAAGGAAGGAAGGGTAGGGAAGACTTATGGTCAGAATCTGGCAGTGCTGTCCCTTCATGAAGCTCCAGTGCAGGGAGGTGATCTCCTCCCAGCTGCTGATCTCTGCAGCACTGCCTGCCAGATGAATGAACAGGCCCCACTCTTCAGTGGGCAGCTCTTTTGGGGGGAAGGGTGCCTCCACCAGGTTGATCAATCTCCTGGTTTTGGAATAGCTGGGTGCCGTAGTTAATGCCAACTGCACAACAGATTTTTAATCTGCTTTGTGGTAGTGGTGTGCACTGGCTTATGAGGGCTGTTTGGTCAGGGATAGGTTGGAGGGGTTTCTGCTCTGAGATGAATAGATTTCCTTGCAAGTGCACCCATCGCTACCCGCCCCCCAGCTGCTTCCATTTGAACAAGATTCAAGTCTTCAATCTTTACATAAAGTCTTTGTGATACTTACAAAATCACATTTATCTCTTCATATGCTCATCTTTTTTCTAGTTCAAGTTTCCTCAGAAACTTCTGTAGTTTCTACACAGATTTTGGACCACTTTCACCTGAATTTCCCTATAATTGACCAAGTGTCATCTCCTATGGTTCTACAAGATGATAAGAACTTCATCTTGGTCTTCCTGAAAGAGATTCTAGATCAGTGATGGCTAACCTTTTCTGGATCGAGTGCCCAAAGCACCCATGCCCGAACTCCCAAAATGCAAGGCACATGCACCCCCGCGCATGCGCCTTGCTCCCCATGCATGTGTCACACCTCTGCAAGTGCTCCACCTCCCCTGCATGTGGGCGCAGCCCCCCACGCCCTGCCCCCTGTGCATGCGCGGCAGAGACCCGACCAGCTGGCTGGCGGGAGGCACGCATAGGCATGGCAGAGCTGAACTGGGGCGACGGTTCGCGTGCCCACAAAAAGGGCACTGTTTGCCACCTGTGGCACGCGTGGCATAGGTTCGCCATCACAGTTCTAGATAAAGAACAGTGGAAACTGTTGGCCATGGCCATGCCTTTACTGTTTTGCATGAACTGCCTGCTTCAGGCCATGTAACAGCAGCTCATTAAGGTGAAGGTCAGGGCTTTGACTTAGCCTTTTCAAAACAAATTTCTTCTGCTTCAGTCATTCCATTGTAATTACTTCTGTGTTTAAGTTTATTGTCATGCTTCATGCCCCACATTTATTTAAATTTCCTCTCGTGGACAGATAACCAAAAATTGTATTACAAAATTTCTTGGCACAATCCCAAATCCATTATCCCTTTAGGATTGTGAGCCAACTGGGACAAGAGACTGCAAAGAGACCTTATTGTGACAGTTCACTGTTGGAATGAGATACTTTGCTGGATTGCGTTGTTTCATTTTCCCCTAACATAAAAAAGTTCCACTTTCATCTTGTTTGTCCACAGAGCTTTGTGGTCTTCAATTTGAGATGGGTGTTTTCTGAGATCATAGTTTCCTCCCTGGCCTCCTCCTGGGCACACAATTCTCATTTCTTTGATGGTGAACTCATGGCCAGGGTTAGTGGAGAAGGCAAGCCTGGCCTGTAAATACTTTGCTGTTACCGTTGGTTCTTTGCAGCCTCTGGGTTATTGTATGCTTTGCTCTTAAGTTATCTTTTTTGGGGGGGGGGGGGGGGGCGACTATTCCTGGTCTTGCATTTTCTCAATTTGAGCACTGTTTCCCTGACCATGAATTGATAAAGGCCAAAGTCTTTAGGATTTACCCTCTAGACTCTTGAGCATTGCCAGGCCTTTCCCTGGGATCTGCAGAGCAGGGGTGAAATGCTACCGGTTCACATAGGTTCGGGCGAACCGGTAGTAAAAAAAAGCTACTGGTTCGTCCGAACCAGTATTTCCGATGATCAGCTGTGCCGCGCGATTTAAATTCGCTAGAAAGTTGCTTTCTAGCAAATCTAAATTGCGCGGCACAGCTGTTCCTCCCCTTGCTGTTCTACTTACCTTGTTAAGCCTCCTTTTTCCAGGCGAAGTGTGCGCTTGGCACGCACTGCATATGCATGCAGCATGCGTTTGATGCACACTGCACATGCGCTGAGCACTGCTTTTGGTGCGCACTGCACATGCGCGTGGAGTGCACCATGCTTTTGGTGCACTGTGCATGTGCGTATGTAGTACGCATTTGGTGCACGCGGGCAGCAAACCAGTGGCAATCTGTAGAGGATTTCACCACTGCTGCAGAGATGTTCCCTTTCCTTCATCTGTGTTCTGAGGAACAGACTCTGATGGTGACAATCAGTGTCTGGGAATATAGGGGTTTTTATAGGGGAGGAGCCCTCAGACTCATACCTGACTGTCATCGAGTAGAATCATTAACCCAATTTACCCCCATAACAGAGAGTGGATTATATTAGGGCTTTGTATACTTTTTCCAGCAAAGACTGTGAAGGTTGGCTTGGTGTTCAATAAGGAGGTGACACAGAACACTGTTTTGAGTGTTGTTTGTTTAATCAAACCCTCTTTATTTATTACAGGTAGTCCTTGTTTACAGACCATGCACTTGGCAATTGGACAATGGTGCTGAAAAAACAAATTTATGCCCAATTTACAACAATTTATGACCTTCACAGCATTCCTCAGCCTCGTGATTTGTATTGCATTCAGTACACAACCTGTGTTTCTCTCCCCTTGCGGAACAGACTGAGGAAGGGTCTGCAAGAGAGTAATGGGCTGCCAGCACATTGCATGACTTTTGATGTGTACCAGAGGGTACTTGGGCATTCCAGCGCTCCAAAGAAGGGGGGTGGGGGTGGAGCAGGGTAGGAGGCAAACAAAAGCAGAAGGTATGAAACTGACTAATCTCGTCTTCTTTATGTCAGAAAGCACCCTCCCAGCCATTGATTTCCCAGATAGCCACCTCTTTGCTTAGCGTTAAGAGTTCCATGGGGTTTTTAAGCGAGGACTACCTGTAATAAGATGTTGTTGAAGGTCTGGTCACTTCTGAGGGTTCTCAAGGATTACCATAAAGGGTCCCCAAATGTTCTGTTGTGGCTGAGCTGTTCATACTTGCTGGGAGCTGTTTGGAGGCTGAGATGAACATCGGAACAGAAGTTGCACCTTTCTGGATTGGATGTCTGGCCCATGGAGTCCATCAACCAGTGCTCCCAGGAAGCTCTGCAGCCCCCAGGAAAATACCGTAGGCCAGTTTTCCTCAACCTGGGAAATTTTAAGATGGATGGACTTCAATGCCAGGAATTCCCCAACCAGTGAAATTGAAAGTTGCTGGGGTTGAGAAACACCACTCTAGGCAGATACTCAGTGTTCCAAGGACTTTCATGAATCAGTCAATCCTTTTTTAAAGCCAGAGAACTGTTACCCAGCGTCACATCTCATGATAGCAAATTCCAAAATTTAATTATGTATTGTGTTAAAAGAATTTGAAAGTGAGATGGGTGATACCTAAGTCTGACAAACAAATAAGAAATAAATAAGAACATCCTCGGAAAATTTTAGCTTTGTGGCAGTCATGTTTTAAAGAAGCATTCCCTGTTTTCTGCTAGAAACACTGCAATAATGCAGAGCTTTCAGCTTCCTCAGCTTCCAACATGAACTGCCCAGGGGACCTCCAGCTATGATTCCTCCAAGGTTTCTAGAAGAAAAACATCAGCAGCCTGGAGGGGTGGAGCTGTGGTTAGATGTGCAGTATTGCAGGCAAACTCTGCCCACAGCCTGGAGTTCAATCCTGACGGGGCGCAAGATTGGCTCAGCCTTCCATCCTTCCGAGGTCCGTAAAACGGGGATCCAAACTGTTGGGGGTGAATAGGCTGACTCTGTAAACCACCCAGAGAGTGCTGTAAACCACTATGGGATGGTGTACAAGTCTTAAGTGCTATTGCTATTGGTATCACCCAAGGTCAGTTAGGTGTTATTGATTTTAATGAATTTTAAAGACTACTTTTATTAACATCTCCTCTGATGAAATATTCCAGAGCAATCAAACGTTCACCCACTCCTTTGTGCCATTTTGGAAGAGTCTCTCCACCAGCATCCAGATGAGCATGGATTAATTCCAAGATTAACATCAGACCAACAATCAAGTAAACAATACCCCAATCAAGAAACTATCAAAGAAGCCAACAGTAAAGAGCCCAACCAAACAATCTCATAAGACTTTTCCCACTGACTGGGGCAAGCCACTAGAACAGGGGTGTCAAACTCGCGGCCTGCAGGCCGGATGTGTCACATACTAGCCCCGCCCCTGCCTGGTTTAGCAAAGGGGGGGGAGTCCCAATATGTCACGTGATGATGCCATGACAATGTGAGTTTGACATCCCTGCACTAGAACATAAACTCGGAGCAAATACCACTCCTTACTAACTCCTTACCTAGTTTGAGTAATGAAACATCTGCAGGAAAACAGCTGAGTTCAGAGAGTGCCCAAACCCCTTCATTTCAACCCTCAGCTGTAAATATTCTCCTTTATTGATATATGCAAAATATTGCATTGCCTGCTAACCCTTGTGCTGTAGGGGCCTGGTAATAGGGAAGGGTGGGTCAGATGAATAATTGAGGCAATTGAAGGTTGTTGGTGGGTTTTCCATAACCACCTATGGAATATGCCTGAGAGCTATTGCCTGTTCAGGCCCATTTCACAGAGAACACTTGTTGGAGGCCAAGGACACAAGCAGCCACAGACTTCAGGCAATCCCCAAGTGTGTGTGTGGGGGGGGGAAGGGGTTTGACAACAATTGCCTTTGGGCTGGGTGCCCTTTGGGAAGGCCTTGCTGCAGCACACGAGAGTCCTTATGCCACCCCTTCCTTGGTTGTCTTGCAGCAGCTCCTGTGCTGAGCTCTGCCCTGTATTTTGGGTGGGGATCCAGAAGGAGGCAGGCAGCTGGAGGAGCAGAATGTGCTGCTTGCTGAGCTGAGAAGTGACCTGGGTCTGGAGAGGTGTCCTCGGGAGGACGCATCTCTGTGTGTAGGAATCTCTTCGGAGGTGAGGGAGAGGGTGGCTCAGTTTTGGCTCTCTGCCTTGCTGAGCCAGGAGACTTTTATGGGTTGACGCAAAGTGAGGAAAGGTGGCTGGTGGGAGAGACGCCCTGGTCTCCTGCAGAATGTGACCCACATGAACGACAGGAGAAGAAAGCCAGGGGCTCTCCCTGGACCTTTGATTCTCTGCCAAAGAGCTTGGGCAACAGGCTTCCCTCGGCCTGAGCTGCAAGCCAGTCCGTCTTGTCAGGATCCAGCCAGGCTGGTTTCTTAGCAAGAGAAAATTACTCAGAAGTGAGCTGTGCGGACAGGAAATTACAGTTCTGCCAGCTGCGGGTGATCCAAAACACGGTCCCCACGTGCAAAGTGCAGCCTGGATTGTGAGGAGGTTTTGGAAAGTCCCCCTGATATTCTGAGCCCAGGACCCCTGACCAGACTTCTCCCCTCCCTGGGTCACCAGGAAACAGGTCCCCGGGGCTGCCTGATGTGCCCTCTTTCTGTCTCCTGCAGCACAGCCATGATGGGAGGCAGCCTGCTTTTTCTCTGCTCTTTCCTAGTTCCAGTGATCTTGGCAGAGGGTATGTATAGCTTGAGGGGGGCTACGTCTGTGCCTCAGCCTACTCTTGTGGCAACTGCTGGGAAGGAATAGATTTGGGTGGTTTCCTTGCATGCACTGTGAAGTCAGGATAGAGGTTGAGGTCCAGGATCCGGTCCTCTCTGGCTGCATTTGTTGGCACATGCAGAGGAGGAGGAGGACTTGGCTCCCCTCTTGAACTGCCCACAGAACTGCCACGTTATGGATGTTTTGTTTGCTCTTTCCAGCAACTGAGCAAGAGAAAGAAAAGGATCCCTTCAACTATGGTGAGACACAAACACCTTTATTTGACCCTCTCCAATATTTCTGAGCATTGCTGCAACCTCACTTCCCTTTGGTCTTCCCCATTCCCTTTCAGACTACCAGACCCTGCGGATTGGCGGCCTGACCTTTGCCGTTGTTTTCTTCACGCTCGGGATCCTGCTCATTCTGAGTAAGTGAACTCCGGATTAAGGGCAGGAATGCTGCTTGCCAAGAGCCTGGCCTCCCTGGGGCAGGAAAGGAAGCCAAGTGGAGATGGCCTGCCTCCCCTGGGTACTCTGGCCAAGGTGAGGCTTTGGCAGGAAAGGGGCCCCAGGCGATAGTTTTCATCCCCCCCTCTGTCCACACCAAAGAAAGAGATGGAAACAGGAAGCAGCTGACCACTACATCTCCCGGGCTGGAGCTGCCCAGCTTGGCTTTGCTCGGGAGGTGCCCATGCCAGACTTGCCCTTTCTTGCCCAATGGAAGAGGAAGGCCAATGGTTTGTGCACAAGGCAGCTGCTTTGTCAAGTCCCCGCCTCCCCCCGCCCCAGCTCAGCATCTGGTCTGCTCTGCCACGGTGGGAGACATGCCCGTGATGCCAGGAGAGTCATGGCAGACAAAAGGCTTTTCCCGTGGCCCCCACCCAGAGCATCTCCTCTTGCCTCACGTTGCCGTGTCTTTTCTCCCAGGCAGGCGATGCAGGTGCAGCTTCAACACAAAGGCCAGGTGGGTGAGGAGGCTTTGCTTCCTGGCTGTCCTTCTCCCCGTCGCCCCCCTGGGAAGTGGGAAGGTGGTGACGCCCCCTGTCTGCTCTTGCTCTGCAGGGCTCCTGGTGATGAGGAGGTGCAGGCTGAGAACCTGATTGCTCCAAACGGTAAGGCTTGGCCAGGCCCTGCCCTCATTCAGGGGGGAGGTTTTCTGGCCCCAGAAGGGGGCAAAGAGTTTGCGGAGCCCATTCAGTCTTCCACCTTCCTCCCCTGCCCCCACTGTGCTTGTGGCCTGCCCTCAGTGCCACTGGAGTAGGAGAGGAGCCTGCAAAGTGTGCTGCGTTTGCACAGGGGGTGGTCTGGCCTCCTCGAGGGAGCTTCCCCTTTCCTGTGGCTGGGAGGGAGGGACGGGCCCACCAGAGTGGCCCTCCTCTATGGGCCATGGGAACTTAGTCCGTGGGAGAGAAAAGCATCAAAGGTGGTTTTTTGCAGCAGCAACAGCAGCACCAGAGAAAGCAGAGAACTGAAGTGAAGGTGTGCAGGTGAGTTTTCAGAAAGGGAAGAGAGAGTGTGGGGGGGGGGAGGGCTGTTGAATGGCAGAAACGGTGCAAATCTTGCCAAACTGAAAATTCAGGGACTATCCTGGGTAGGAGAGAGGAGCAGCTGACTGAAAAAAACCTGACAAAGAAGCCTGAACCTTTTGGGAAATTTGCATGAAAAGTGATTGTTGCTTTCTCTCAAGAGTGGCTACAGCCTTTGCGAAATGGGGCTCTTGTTTTAAATGTGGTTTTAAACCAGATGTACCTTCATGTGCTGCAGGGGGTCTTTCTGCTTTGCCACTGTTTCCTTTTCTTCTTCAGCAAAGGAGAGCTGACACTGGACCGGTAAATTCCAAATGCAAACCAGATGAAGGGACATGGAGGTGATGGCCCCCTGGTCCTCTAAGGGAATGTTGACGTTTTGGTGTCCATGTTGGCCTCTGCCCTGGAAAATCAGCCCTCTGCTTAACTATTCCCCACAAAATTCTTGTCTGATTGCATAATGTTCATCTGTCATTACCATGGTTGTGGCCTTGATGTTGTCCTTGTGCAACTATCTCCTCTGTGACCCCCCCTCCTCCCCCATGCTTGTTCGATATTCTGACCCTCCCTGGTGAAGACCTGGCCGCTTCTGCCTTGATGTGCACAAAGGCTGTGGCTGCCCCCCACCCAGTTGAAACAGGAGGCGGGGAGGACTGTGGGAAGGGAATCCGGCACCTTGGTGGTGTTCAGCCTTGGCAGTAGTGGCCTCCCTCCCCTTGCCCCTGGCCCTTCTCCTCACCAGGTGGAGTCTGGGTCCCTCCAGAAGCTGCCTGTCAGCAAGGCCATAATGGGCCGTGCCCAGTGTCTCTCATGCCAGCCAGCCACAGGGCCAGAAAAGGAGCTGGAATGGGAGGGGCTCTTCTCAGAAGTCTTCACTTGGCTCCCCAGGAGGCTAAGAGGGTAGTTTGGCAGGGTACCTTTTTCCTGGGGTGGAGATCTGCTGGCGGGGGTGGGGGGCAGGTATTAACTTTTTTGCAAGGCCTTCATACAGTGGGGTGAGGTGATTGCTGTTACCATTGACTTGATTTGGATAGGGCATTAGTTCTGCCAAGTTCACACCCCTGCATGTTGCAACACAACATCCTGCAAGATTTTGGGTGCCCTTGGATTCTTACTCTAAAGTGCTTGGCAGAATTGGCAACAGAGTTCAGCACAGGAAAGAATGAGAAATTCATTTCCAAGATGGTTTCCATTAGAAGCCCAAAGAGGAGCAGAGGCTCTTCCAGATGAGGGTGGGAAGTGGATTTGGCCTACCTTAATGCCCTGTTCCCCAGCCCTAGAACCCACCCACCCCCAAATGCAGAAGGCTCCCCTGGTTACTTCTCATCTTATGCAGCCACCTGATCAGAGGCTGCCAGTTGAGGAGAGTAGAAGAGGAGCCAACCCTTTCTCTTCCTCCCCCTCCCCAGTCTTGTCTTTGCTGTGGTTGCCACACCTTCTGTATTGCCATGTGACTCTATTGTCTCTGTAGTGTACAGTAGGTAACAACCATTGAAAGCATCTGTGTACAAATGTAATTCCAAAACCCAAGCCATGGTTGTGCGTTCACTTGATGTAGGCTCTCCTACTGTGTGGCTATGATAAAGGACTCCCACATGTTTGTGCTGTATCTCAACTCAAGAGAAGCATCAAATAAAATATTGTTTCTATTTCAGTGCCTCACTGTTCTCCTGCAATGCATGAGGGGTCCTTAGGAGGGCTCCGTGAATAAGGAGGAGTTGGGGCTCCTGCACTTCCGGTGCCCGTGTTCCCTTCAGCCCTTGCCCTTGTCCTGTTTGCAAAGGAAAAACGCACTGGTTATCTATTTCTCTCTCTCCCCCCCCTCTCCCTCCCTCCCATCATCCATCCATCCATCTATCATCTCTATCCACCCATCCATCCAATCTCTTCTGTCATCAAGATAGGCTGAACAAATAGTGAGATTTGCAAGTAGGGGGCAGCCCACTTGCCAATCACAAAAGTTGGGAAGCAGCAGCTATTTATGTCAGGCCAACTTAGGTTGTGTGGCCTTTGGGGGGGGCTGCTGCCCCCTTCGGATGGGATGTCATCGGAGAGCACAATCCCACAAAACCTGGACAAAATACAATGGTGGGAATGGAGGGGGGGAGATTTCCTGTATGTGAGTCAGGTTGTGTGCTGAAAAGAAGGCAGGGGGTGGTAAATGCACCTTCCTGGAGTGTGGGCTCTGAGTGGAATCTCCACCATTGGAATGTCAATGAAGGACCCCAAGGAGGATGTTCCGCTGAATGGGTTGATGGCCAGAGAGCCGCCTGAGGGCGTTTCTGGTTGACCTTGGGGAAATCCTTCAACTTGGCTTCCTGGGGTGCCTGTTGTTTTAGTCTCCTTTAGGGGTTTCCCTGTAATGTCAGAGCAGCAGCCAGACATCAAAAACCATTTGCTGGCACCTGAAAGATAAAGGTGGATTATTGCAGATGTTTTAAGAGATCACAACTGATGGAAAAATAAACATGTTGGAGAACTTCAAAAACCACATGACTTGGTTGCTAGGGAAAGACTTTGCAACGGTATCTGTGCCTGGACCCCACAGGTTTACAGCTGATTGTTTTAAGCCTTTCTGCATGCTACAGCAAACATGTAAAGCCATGAGCTAGTGCCAGAAAGCCTTCCATTGGAGTAGGAGCCTTGCCCAGGACCTCGCTCCAGAGGGTCCCCCAATAAAGTGCCAACCAAGAGAGAAGTTCCAAGGACAGTGCAGTGGCCGACTCTGCTGGTCTTTCCCTCTGGCTGCCTCACTCTCTATGAGAGAGGGAGGGAGGGAGGGAGGGAGAGAACATGCTTTGGCTTCTGGGATGGGAGACAGCTCCAGCTGTTTGGCTTTGGAGTACCCCATGTGCTTCATTGACAGGGAGACACAGCTATTTCCAGTCTGGACGTAGACTGCTGCAATGTGATATGGGGAGGGAGGAAGCTCCCCAAAAGAAGGGGGACTTCAGCACCCCCAGTCTGAGAGATGCAGATCAGCCTCAATGCAGGCAGAAAGACCTGTGCCCAAAGACCAGGATTGAGCCATCTGCTCATTCAGGAGTGGATGGTGGCAGGCAAGAGTGGCTTCTACTCAAACTGGACCCCTTATTTACCTCCACCGCAGCTGAGCCTCTCCTATAACCCTGATGCCAATTCTGGGGCAGCCACCACTCCATGGGAGCAGCAACAGGATGGAGCAGAGCAGAGTGGGGAGCCTTGGGTGGTCCAGGCCTCAGCCTGTGCCTTATTTTCAAGGAGACTGAGCCCTTCCAAAGGAGGGTAGCCTCCCCCAGGCTTTGCCTTGTGACTGGGATAAACATTATGGGCAGCTGGTTAATGTTTAATGAGGTGTTTGTCCTCCGTGCTCCCCATTACAATGTATGTGTGTGCAGCCGAGGCTGCTCTGGCTGTCCATATCGGAGCCAGACAGGCTGGAAAAGGGTAGGTGGTCCAGGTTCTTCACAGCTGGAGAGAAATTACCCCCTTCACCAGCCCCCTCCCATTTCCTCCAACAGAAAGTCAGAGGAGAGAGTAACTCCGACCTTTTGATCCAGCCCACCAAATGCGATGGTGACTCTGCCTTGAAAAGGCAGGCCCAGATTCTGCTCACAGGGGGCACCAGCCCTGGGCCAGAGGCGAGGGGGGAGTGTTGGAGAGGTGGAAAAACCCCAGAAGAGGCGTCCCCATCAGACGCGGGAGGGGGTCCTGCGGGCCCTCTATTTATTGCCCCGCACAGTTGCTCTCCAGTCCTTTCCGCAGCGAGATCTGAGCTCTCCCAAGGGACGCGGGCAAAACCAGCGGGTGGCGCGATGGGACCGGTTCCTTTCTCCCCCACCGATGTGGCAAGTGGGTCTTTTCTTGTACTTGCCGCATGCACGGGGTGCGGGTGGTCGGTTTCAGGCCGAGGGCCTCTGCGTTGTCTCCCGAGCGCCTCTGGGCTGCCATCTTTCCTCGGCTGGGGCTCCTCCGTGGGGTTGACAGCGTAGCCAGCTGTTTTGCAGTTGCTCCACCGGCCGGCTTGAAAGTTTCGGACGCCGAATGCGAAAGGCTCCGGAGCCCGGGTCGCAGCGTCTCCTCCTCGGAAGCCCAGCCCCGCGACTGCCCGGCTTCTGATTTGATTTCTTTTCTCTCCTCCCGTTCCTGCCAGAAAATTTGCCGGAGACCGAGAAAGCCATATTTTCTTACGGTAAGAAGGGGCGAAGGGGCTGAGCCCAGGATGGGGCGGTACAGGGAATTGGCCGCCTCCACTGCTACCCTGCCAGGGGCTCCAGAGAAAGGGGAGACGGGCTTGCACTGCCCGGACTACGGTCCCTTAATACCAAGCCGTCTACGAAAGACCTCCGAGGAATTATACTGTGAATAATAAGAAGGGAACTGAGAGGACACCGAGCACCACTAAGACTTGTCCCTCCCCAAAATATTGATTTCGTTTCATTTCTATATCGCTTCCCTTTGAGCAAAACACAGTAAAACGTGTTTACATAAGACAAGATCAATAAATATGGGAACACACTCCGACACAATAAAAAAACCGTTAAAAAGGAGTCCCCCCCCCATCCCTCCCGCTTTCCGAGCCGCGCTCTCCTAGGACCAGCGAGTCACCAGCCACCTTCCTTAAGCCTTGGAGGAGTCTCGCCTCACCTTGCCGCTCAGATCCACGCCCCTCCCCTCCCCGCGCCTTTGATTCACAGCTTGTTTGGTAAGTAACCAGGCGGGGCATGCAGGAGGGGCAGCCGGTCGCGTGCAATTTTAGCGCTGGGTCCTTGCCCCGTCGCAACCAGAGGCAAACTCTCTGGCCGCCCCGCTCTCCCCCGCCCGCCGCAAGCTTAGCCTCTGTGTATGCCGAGCGCTCCTTCTTCTCTCCCCAGACTACGAGACCATCCGCCACGGGGGGCTCATCTTCGCCGTGGCGGCCTTCCTGATCGGGCTCGCCATACTCTTCAGTAAGCGGCGGGGAGGGAGGGGGCGCGGGGGAGGTTCTGGCGACCTTTCCCGGGACCCAGGAAAGCGGGCGAGAGCGCCTGGCTCGCCCCTTCCTTCGAGGAAAACGGGAGCCGCTGTCCCCGCCTTTGTCGGTCTCAGGGTTACGCTCCAACTCCCGGGAGCAGGCGGCAGGGAGGACATCGGGGCGGCCAAGCCGAACCCCCCAACAGCTGCCCGTCCCGGCGGCTCGAGGCTTCACCAAGTTCTTTCGTTGCAGGTCGGCGGTTCCGCTGCGGAGGGAAGCAGCAGCGACGGTGAGTACCCCTGGCCCCATTAGCCCAGACTCCCAGGCCCGGGGACTTTCCTGATCTCCGCCTGCTCTCCTCCCCCCCTCTCTCCAGACCCGGCGAAGTGAACGAACTGTGAACCCGGCTCTGTCCAGCGCACCTTTCTGCGAGCCTCCAGCTCCTTCTAGGAGGGGGACAGGGAGTGCGGGAGGCCTAGCCGGCGGCTGTAGCACCAGTGGCGGCGGATATGCCTCTTCTCTGCCGGGAGCAAGAGGCTGCGGACCGCGCAGGTGCTCCGAAGGCTCAATGGGAAGCGTCTCCGGTCGCGCGTCCGAGGAAGCGACGAGCCTACAGGTGTGCTTGGCTGCCGCCGCACCGCCTCTGGCCATGAAATAAAGCGCCGCCTCCCAAGTCGGGTTTTAGCCTGAGAAAACCGGCTCCGCTTGATCATTGTGGCCATCCCAAGTGGGCAGCAGGTGCGACATTTCTCCGCCTGGGGCATGCTCTCCGATAAGGGGAGCGGGAGGTCCCGGCCGACGGGCAGGAAGAAGCGGGGGCTTTCCGTACCTTAGCTGCGCTTGGTCGGGACAGAGCTGCCAACCAGAAGAGGCCGGCGGCCTGTGTGTGTGGGGGGGGGGGGGGGGAAGGCAGGGGTGATTTTTCACCTCAGCGGTCCAAGCGCAGAGTTCCGGGTTGGGGATGGCCGGACTGCAATTCCTTCCATGGATGAAAGCAGAAGAGTTGAAAGGGGCGGCAAGTGCCCTGAAGGAGGCGGGAGGATGTGTGTGAAGGTGGGTACCAGCATCCTGTATGCTGCAACTCTTAAAAGAGCCTCCGGCCAGAAGAGTATTTGCATCCTCCTAAAGTCTGAGCTGTGGGGATTATATCAGAATCCCACCATCTGCTGTGGCCTTTGATGCCATCTTAATGGGGCAGGCTGATTTCATTGGCAGTCACAAAGAGATACGGGGTGTGATTCAGCCAGGATCCCTGCTTGCCATCTCTTTCTTTTGGCCTTTCTCCAGGGCTGAGTCCAGGTGCTTTCCTCTGCCATCCTTGAGTTGGCATAAAAATAGACCTGCATAAAAGTTAGTGTCCCCATTGCCAATCACTATCTTGTCCCTTTGCCTGTTTCTGAGTCCTAATTTGTGAGCATGTTAATGGTTGGCTTCCTCCTGTAGCTTTGGTGCCCCCAGCCCCCCCACACCTTTGGTAAAGGAAACACCTCCTGGTCAGAAGAGGGCAGGAAGAGGGAGGGTGGACCTTTGGAACCCAGCTGGGCTTCTCAGGCAAAACTCAACTTGCTCTGTCTTGACCAAGAGGGCAGAAGGGAGAAACTCTCCTAGGATGTTAAGATTCTGTGCAACCACAGAGTTCCAGTTATTATTGGGGTTTCTGTTTTCTGACCAGGCCTGTTTCAAAGTGCTGAATGTGGGGATGGTGGAGGCCAGTGAGCCCCACTTTCTCTTCTTAATGGGCACAACCCATTAAGATGCTCCCTAGTCGTGAATTAGTTGTTGGCCAATAGGGCATCCACACTGTTCACACATGCCATATTTGACTGCTCCAAGTGAGACTAAGTGGAACAGGAGCAAACAGGATCTGGAAAGCGGGCTAGGGGCCAGGCTCCCCCAACCCCTTTGCAATGTTGCTTCTCTTCCCATCATTCCTAAACTAAAAGAAACCCCAATATTCTGTAACAGAGATGGCTACAATCTTCCCTCGGGTGCATCAGTTTTTGCAGCAATTGTGGTCTTTTAAAGGCATGCAGCCTTTTTGATAAGACAGGTAGGGCTCTTGAAATGGAGGACACTGAGTGGAAGAGCTGCACTTCAAAGAGCTCCACTAGAGGTCAGTGTAGGTTCATAATTTGTTCTATAAAAGGCAGGCAGAAGAATTGTGTTGGTTGCCTGTAAAAGGATCAGTGTCTTGATTAGGGACTTCCAAAATGGCACAAAGGAGCTTTTGATTTCTCTGGAACACTTCAAGAGAGGAGATGTTCATAAAAGCTGTCTTTAACATTTCTTAAAATCAATAGTACCTAGCTGATCTTGGGTGACAGCAATAGCAATAGCACTTATTCTTGTATACTGCTGCATAATGCTTTATAGCATTCTCTCTTTCAATCCATTCCTCCCACGCCCCCAAAGCTAGAGATTGGGGTGCCCGCATCTGGTCAGTTGCAGTTCTCCTGCTCTCCAGGAACTAGCTGGTGGACGTGAGGGTGTTTGGCCAGAGAGGCAGGCAAGCAGCCTAGAGAAGCCCAGGCAGGGTCCCAACGCACCTCTTCCCCCCCCCTATCCTGACCAGTGGGTAACCTCTTTATCAGGGGTGAGGGACAGCAAAGCAAAGGGAGAAAGCCAATCATTGGCGCATTCACACATTCACGTTAGGACAAGGCCACAGACTCAGAAAGAGGCAGGATGAAGTTTGGCAATGGAGACACCAACTTTTATGCTAGTCTATTTTTGTGTCACCTTGAGAACAGGTGGAGCACATCGCCTTCATCAAGTAATAAACTAACCTGCTAGTATTTCTCCTGAAATGGCACTACCTGCAGTTCACGGCGGGATGAAGCACAAGAGACCCCTGCATGGGAAAGTTGCTCAGGGTTGTATCCTTGCATATTATCATCTCCCAATTGTTTGGTCTACCAACTATTGGGAGAAATTTGAACACTGTCATCCATGAGACTGGCACACACAAACAAAAATCAATTTCAATCATATCATTTCTGCCTCTGAAAATTAAATGTGGCTTTTTATTTGTCTTGGAAGAAAATAATTAATCCCTGCCCTCCTGAAGAGAGACCATCTGCCCCCAGCCTCTGTGGAGTGTTTGAGCGTAAATCTCAGGGGAGCGGGATTATAGCTAGAGAAATATATATTGTGGAGGGCCAACACCTTGTCTCTTCCTCCCACTCCAAAAAGTGTCTTAGTGGTAGTTATTTATTCCACATCAAGAACTCAGTGGGATTCTGTGTCAGGCACAGATGTAAGAATAAGACACCATCATTACCAGTGAGCCACACTGGGAATTATATGTCCTTTGTGTTTACCCAAAGCCATACAGCAGGTTGCATCCAGGTAAACTATTGCAATTGGACACCTGCAAGGTAACTCGGCAAAGGCTTAGCCATAACCCCCTTCCTTTTTTCTGGCAAAATCTGGAAAGAGAAAGCACAGGGATATGGGAATTTATTCTCAGTTACTTTCCCCACAATGCTGGGGAACAGATTTTGCCTTCTTGATCTTTTTGCAAGGACAGTGTTCTCTTTCCACAAAACACCCTTGGAACTGAGATATACCTAATTTGAGAACAATCATCTATAGGGAGTCAGATTAGCTGACCAGATCCTGGGAAAAACAAAGCAAAGAGGGGGTGAAACACAAGGTTTATAAGTCTGAGCCCAAGAGAGGGGAAGTCGAGCTCTCCAGGAGAAAGAAAATATTGTAGACATCCCGGTGAATGCTGGGGAACTCTCTGGCCTAGGTTCCGACAGGGTTCCTCTTAATAAGCCCAACCTGAGGGACTGTTTCCCACATGGTCTTACTCTGGGAATTAATCCAGGCCCAGAATGGAGAGGCAGTGCAAGAATGGTGACTCGAATTATCCACAGACAGATTAGCCAGTCCATGTTTAGGTCGTTAGAGAAAAGAGATCTGGAGTTCTTAAATTCCTGGGCCACTGGACTAAGCCAAGCAGGCCGCTATTCATGAACACAGAGACTATATTGATTTTCAAAAGGAGTTGCAGTCAATAGCAGGAATGGCTTCCCTATCTAGCTTGGGATCTCAATGAGAGGTGAACAGATATTTATTTATTTGAACAGTTATCTAGAATATCTGTGTAGTCCCTAACAGGTTTTCTGGTTATATGCAGAAAAATTGAAAAGCACATACAAATAAGAAGCAAAACCAATGTCAAAATAAGAAAATACAGGTAGTCCTTAATTTACAACCACAATTGAGCCCAAAATTTCTGTTGCTAAGCGAGACAGTTGTTAAGCGAATCACTGCAGTTAAGTTAATAACACGGTTGTTAAGTGAATCTGGCTTCCCCACTGACTTTGCTCACAAAAGGGAATCAGATGTCACTGCAACCGTCATAATTATGAGTCAGTTGCCAAGCTTCTGAATTTTAAACACACAACATGGGGATGCTGTAATGGTTGTAAGTGTGAAAAATGGTCATAAGTTTATTTTTTTGGTGCTGTTGTAACTTCGAACAGTAACTAAATGAACTAATGTAAGTTGAGGACTTCTTGTAGCCGGTTCAAGACATCAGAATACAAAGTCAACAACTTGTGCTGAAAATGACACATACCCCAATAGTTGGCCTCTGCTGACACCACCACTGATGAAAGGCCCTCTGCTGAGGAGGACGAAGCTCTTCTTATTTGACTATGTGGACCAACCAACATGCACGAGTCTCGGTGCCAGGGCCTCTAATGGGCATATCTGAAGCCCTCAAAACAGTTCAGGAGCAAGAAATGTGGCAGAAGATTAATCTGTACAACTGTGGAGCAGAACTGGCACCACCAAAATAGTGACTGGGCAGCAGGGTCAGATGGAATAGTAGGTCAGAGTTCAAGTGCTCTTGAAATGCCACAATTTGATCCAGGAACCTCCCTCCAAGCATCCTCAGAGCAAAGCTGGCTCCTGGGTCTGCAGTGCCCTCCAGATAAATCAGTTCCTGCCATTACCAGCATAACCATTTCACCAAAAGTTGACCCATCATAATGATTTCTACGAATCTCTGTAACCCATCAATTATGGGTGCCCTCTATACATGAAATGGACATGTATGATTAAACAGTAGTTTGGGGGGCTCATAAGGGACTCACGTTTTGTGCTTTGAGATGGATCTCTTATCAGCCCCTAAAAGCAGATTTGAGGATCTCTTCTGGGGGCTAAGGTGAACTTGAGAACAAATTATAAGTTATAAATTCTACTGGGTTCACAGAACCTTCTCTCTTCCCTGTTGCTTTTATTGATCTGTTCCTTTCCCTGTTGCCTTTGGTCAGCTGGGCTGACATCCCTGCCCGCCCCCTGCCCGTTGATCCCTTTGAATCTACAACATCATTTCTTCACCCCTTCATCTTTCATCTGGTTGTATTTAATCTTCTTCCTGTGCCGCCCCCATCCCCAGGCATCCTTTGCTTTGTCCTTCTCCAGCTTTCTTTGATGGCTTGCTGGGTTACACCCACTTCTGAATTCTGGGTGGCTGTGGGCAAGTCAGATTGAGAGCCTGCATGCTCCTCCGTGAGAAATTTGATCAGGGAAGCTCTCAGATGTCGCTGATTTCTCCACATATCCTGGTACCTTCAGGAAGGCAAAGCAGTTCCTGCAGATTTTACTCTGTTAGTCATTGCCAACTTTAGGGAGCGATGCTCATCTCCATTTCGAAGCTGTTGAGCTAGCACTATCCAAA